AGCGTGAGTGGGCGATGAGAAGGAAAGGTCAAAGACTTCGACCTAACGGGAATGAGTAACGACGAATTGAGACGATGAGGTGCTCTGGGGATTTTCAAAAATGATTCTCATAACAATTTTGAAAGTGTATCTCTCCTTCAAAATTGCTACAGTGAAACGATTTGGCAGTTACAGTAAAAAAAATGTCTTCACTTAAAAACAGACATACATCAGTTTAATTTCAAATTTGTTTAATAAAATATCTTTTTTTCGGACACCATTAAACACGATTTTACTACTACTTTCATTCTCAAATTATTCAAACATTTTGTATTCATTTTTTGAAGAAATTAAATTAGACAACATTTGTTCCGGAAGTTGGCTTCGATTAGTGGCCAGTTATTAGTTAATATGGTTAGCTAACCGAATTCTTATTTTGCTTAAAAATGATTGCAACCACCCCATAGAATAGAACTTCTTTTTTTTTGAACTGCCATAGATTAATTAATTAATTAGTCATAAACGTAATTAATTTAGTACTTCATGTGGCATGTGACCACCACCCCCCACAATTATTCCCTCTTCTACAATTTTGATCCACTAACAGGGTCAACTTGTTATTAAAAAGTCAAACTTACGAACCGAACAATTTAATTCTTCTATTTTATTTTTAAAAGAATTTAGATACTTTTGTTTGTTTCTGTATCTATTTTTTATAAAAAAAATCAATATATATTGTTTAATTAGAACGTTAATTAATGGGGATTATTTTTTGGAAGAATTGAGTTTGACCAAGGTATGAGTTAAAGTAGAAAATTTTGGAAACACATGAGACCACATGGATTAGCCGTTTAAGCTGCACTTTGGAATATTTGCACTTTTAATCAAACACTTACCACCATATTATTAGTCAAACTAATTAAATTTTATTTAAAATATATAAATAGTTCAACAATTTGAAGAACCATATAACTATATTATTTTTCATAATTTAAGTATTTGTTGCAAAATTTTACACTCATTCTTATAATTAGTCAGATATTGAGTTAGTTCTCTTATCAATTTTTTTTTATTTCAAGATTTGTAACTTTTTTTTCCAGGAATCTTTGCAGTTTTTAATAATCTACGTGTAACTTCAAAGAGTTTCGGCAAGTTGAAATATACTATATCTTATTTTAATATATTTAAACAAATGTGACGACATATATTTACTTGTTCACTAATATTTCTATGACTATTTACAAAAGAAAAAAAAAACTTCAGGACTCTGCCATGAACCTTTAAAATCTTGATTTACGTTTACTTCATCAATATTTTAGTCATATTTTCTCCAAAATTGTAAACTGCTAATAAAAAAATTATCGTCCAGTTGTGTTCGTTAGAATGAATTAATGTGTACGTTATACAATACAAATAGGGATATTTTTACAAATAAGAAAATTTGTGAATATAGATTCTTCCCCTAATAATGAAACAATACAAATTGATGAGAATATTTTTGCAACACAATAAGTGTTTTTAATACTAATGAATAATGCATAATAAGTCAAATATTATATAATACCACCTTTATAATACAACATACTATACATATAAAAATTGTATTAATACTAGGTATATGCCACATATGATCATGGTATCGAACTAATTACATGTATATATGGGCTTATAAAAATAATCTTTGTGGTTTATAAGTTGTGTGGTCTTCAATAAACCAGCGTCTGTTTCTTGTTTAATTAATAGGTTGAAGGAATAATACCATCATTATTTCTCTTGTTTAAATTAATTATAAGATTAATTAAGTTGCTAATTTAACCTAATTTAACCGATTTTGACCGAAAAGATGCAAGTTTGACCATATCACAACGAATAATTAGATACTGCCACATGGGATTGATGATCATAGTCTTTTTGTTTTTTAGGGAAAAAAATAAATAAATACATAACTAACTAATGATTGAACCATATATTAGAGTATTTGACCTAATCATGATGTGCTTTAATTGTGTATTTGTCTAATTTCAGAAAGAAAGAAAAAAAACCAAAAAATAAATCTATATCGATGTCGGTTTTATAGAACCTACACATGGTGAAATACATTACATAGTTTTACATCATTGATTTACAGATAGTAACACACATCCATGTATGTGTACTTAAGAGGTACTCCCTCTGTTCCACAATAACTGTCTCTTTTTTAAATTATTTTTGTTCCATATTATCTGTTACTTTATATTTCCAATACAACATTAATTGTGTAATTACCAATTTTACCCTTATTAACTATCTCCAACACTCTCTCACATTAATTATTAGCAAGGGCATTTTAGTATAAGAACATATATTTTTTTCTAAAACTAAGCAACATTTATTGAGATCCTTAATCCTTGTGCACAAGCTAAAAACGACAATTATAAAGGAACGGAGGGAGTAGTTATCTATATAGATCTACGGTTTAAAACCAAACGAGGCCGAAGAGTGTTGTAGAATTAATAAGGGCATAATTGAAAAATATATAATTAAAGTAGCATTGAAATTCTAAATTAACAGATTATATGGAGAAAAAAAAATCAAAAGTGACAAATATAGTGAAACGGATGGAGTAGAAATTAAAATATGTACAACGATTATATATGCAAACGCCGATTTGCACCCAGTTTTGGGGTTTCTGTGTAGAAATGACAAGCATTGTCGGTTCTTAAGGGCATCATCAAATGAGGTGTGTAAAACGAGTCTCCGTGTCATATTTTAGAGACTCGTGTAAGAGATCGACTTTTACGTCAAAGTATTTATATAAATAAAAAAAAAATCATCAATTTTTGTAGTAAGAAGATAATTTCTAATTAGACTAAATTGTCAGCGAGTCGGTTAACCGAATCAAAAAAATAACTGACCTGAACCCTGAACCGACTCAGTAGATAGATGGAAAAGTTAAAGGTAAGGTATTAATTTAAACATGCATGCTATCGTTGTTTTGACAGTATATAATTAATAGTCCATATCTTCACTCAAATTACAAAATCAAGACCACACATTTTGATATTCATGCTCGAATGAGATTATTCGATTTATATATATATATATATTTCGAAATATTTTGTTTAAAAGATTTTGTTAGGCAAATTGTTTTTATACAACAAAAAAATTAAGAGCACCACCATTTATTCAATGAAAATTGACTAACATTTATGATTTAAATTGTGATCACAATGGTCACAATCGACTTTATTCTTCACTCTTTCATGCACGAGTCATAACGAAAGATACCTGCCTTCTATTTAATGATGAATATGACTTACATTTGCAATATTTGATCACTTATATATCTTCCATTGTGAGTTGTTTTCATCCACAAAACCAAATTCTAATGCATAGGCCCGGTTCGGACTGGGCCCCCGATTTTTTACGAATTTTAGGGGCTCTCGATTTAAGATTATTTGTGAATATATTAATTTTTATTTGAGGACTCTTATTTCCATTATAAATATTAAAAATATATTAGTTCGAATTAATTTGTGTTTGTTAGATATTTTAGTGCTTATTTTGATGTTAATATGTTACCACAAAGAATATAACTTTTATTTATTCTTATGTTAATGATTAGTTAAATACATAAGAGCCTCCGTTTCGACCGCCTTCGTAAAGTTCGACATTAGCCCCAAAAATTCTAGGAACGGGCCTGCATTAGCAGGCCCAAACATTATCTTTTTTACATTTATAATATCGATATTATTATGTAGTTTATATTATAGTTGATTGGAGAAATACAATTTCTAAATTCAGCCGATTTCGATCCAAAAAAATTGATTTCGAAACAACTTGTTTTGATATATATATATGCAGAATTAATGAGAGACTGATTGAAGGTGACTACAAATATGGATGGACCAGAAAATTATATGTTGTATGGAACCAATAATCCGCATGGGTTTCCTTATATATAATGATTTACCAAATTCTCGATTTTTGTGATTTTCTTTTCTTTAATTATTTTATTTTTTTAATTATCTGGTAATCGAGAAATAGGCAAAAGTAGTTGCTGGTCGTGTTCGATCTTGAAATGCTGATAACGTTGGCGAATTGAATCAAAGCCGTGCAAAAATCTTGACCAAAAAGACAAACATATTAACATATTTTTGTTTGATTTTTATCGAGCTTCATAATTTATGTTTGAACTTGGTTTAAGTGTTAGTAGATCGACCTCGAACGAGTTTTAGTTGAAATGACATGAATCGAGCTCGAGTTGTTCCACTAATACGAGTAAATTTGACAAGAGATTAAAAGAGGAATTTATATCGTAGTCGGATGGAACGATTTGAATTTAAGACAATTAGTATCGTCGCCAAGTATCGCCTCTCTTTTGTCCTCCTTCATGTGAGGCGATATCCTTACTTTCAAGAACGGGAGGCGGGTTTTTTCGTATTTCTTGCTTCTGCTTTTTGTCCTCAATTTCTTTGTGTACTTCGATTTCTGGGTTGGTTTCTACAGATTCGATCGTATGAACTGCTCTTGTGATTTCGTTGTTCGTATACTAGGGTTGGTTTTCGATATATATTTTTGCCATCTATTATGTAACTTTTCGAGTTCCCAAATCTGAGCACCTGTTGCTATTTCCACTCGGAGACGATGCCAACTTCATCTATCTCACTTGTGCATATGGAGACGGACTTCGCACTGCGTCTACGCTTTCTAGTTATTAGTTTTATTTCATTAAACGAGCCGGGAACAATTTATCTCATATGATGGCTACGCAAGGTTTTTTTAACTGTAACGAGGGTACTTTATTACCTCCGAACGCGGCGCATTTCACCTAAATTTAATATATTGATATTTTTTCTCAAAAAATAAAAACTTTATTATTATAAATTTAAAATAGTTAGCTTCAATCTCCAAATTACGGATTCGAATTCGAGAAGAGGGTTTTGAAATCTACCTTAAAACTAAGATCTAAGGATTTAAAATTCAATATGAAACAATAAATCCAAACATGTTTTTAAAGAACTCTAGAGAGTTTCAGTAAATAAATAAATAAAAAAGAAAATTGGTATTAATATAATGGACTTACATATATTATTACATAGAAACTTGGGATGGTATATTCCTAAACAACCTCAAAAAAGACACCCAAAAAACAAGTGTCTGATCCCTAATTCCCCCTAGAAAAAGAATTACTGCCATTTTTTGGCACACAGAAAAACAATACAAAAAAACACAAGTCATTAATTATTCCACATTAATTTAATGAATTTCCCTGCCCCCTAAAATACTTAAAAAAAAAACTTTAGGAAAATACCATTTATAATAAAGAATAAAATTATATAGCAATCTACAGAATAAATAAAAAAACAAAATCAATAAAAAAAAAATCGAAAAATTTGGCGAATTTACAGTGTATATGCCTGGTGTCGTGTCGGAAAATGCTGCTTTACTGAACGTACCACCGTATTTCTTTTTTTTGTAGCATCATTCATGTAGAAAATGGAAGTAGGGATTCTCAAGGAGGTCTAATGCGGGCTTCACATCTAAGAAATCCTTCACTTCAATTGAATTCGACAGTTCATCGATCGAGAATGGAATACTGTAATCACACAAAAAAATTAAAAAATAAAATAAATTAAGGGTTAGACTTTGTATTTTCTACTATGGCGAGAAACTAAACGGGGATGTAAGAGAACCTAAGAAAACAATATTTAAGACAAGTACATGTTTAAATCTTACTAATCTCATTATTTTTCGACATTTGGTTTCTCACCTTGAAATGAAGCTTACGAAATCTATTTTCTTTTTTTTTCTCCAACCATGAAATCGAAATTGTGTTGCGTGGAAAGAATAAACTAGTTAAACTGCATGACGCCATTCGAGTTATATTTTCCACTTAAGGTCTCGTTTGGTTACCGCTTATTAACTCCTACTGACTAAATAGTAGGCGTTTGGTTGGCAAGATTCAAACTAACTGAACTGAAGCCCGCCTGACAACAAAATTAGTAGATGCCGACTAATTTTGTAGGTAATGACTACACGGGAAAAGGACAATTTTGTCCATAAATATTATAAAGGGTAAATTACGGTCACACTCTAAGGTAAGATCAAATTACAAAAAAAAAAGAACACTCGTTTGGATAATTACAACCACCACCCCTTCAACTATGAATTTTCTTACACGCCAACCACTGCGGTGTCAAATTTAGTGGAATCTTCAACACTATGTGGAATATTCTCCAGTTTATACCCGCTTTACCTCATTTGAGCTCCACATTTTGAAACAAGATGATCATAAGATGTGTTTCTTGGCTTGTAAATATCATATTGTGGTGCATTTTTGCACAAAACGAGTACAAACTAGAGGACATTTCACGGAATAGAAGATTCTATTCAATTTGACACTATAAGGGTGGACGTGTAAGAAGATTCATAGTTGAGGGGGGGTTGTAATTACCCAAACAGAAGCGGTTTTTTCGTAATTTGACCTTACATCTGGGGGTGGCCATGATTTATCCATGTTATAAATTATTCGGATAATGAGTATTGTTAAATTAGGGATATTATTGAAAAATTTCATATAATCTTACTACATAATTAATTAATTAGTTACGAGGAAATTAATCCAATCTAGTCCAATATAATCCGATATAGGTAAGCAAATGAAGCCTTAATAAACTCGAATTATGCTTTTTGCTGGTAATTTACTGAAGCCCATAGTCGCATAAATAGGTAAATTACCTGGAATTGTCGTCCAACAGAAACGAGTTGCTGACCGCATTGTTGGAGTCCTCTGTCATGAGCACTCTCATACTGGATATAACCTGTTATTACATAAATTAAATTAAATTACTCCAAAAAAAAAATTAATTTCATTTTAAAAAGATGAAAAATACTCGAGGGATAGTAGTGAAAAAAATTAATTATATTCCAGCTAAAAGAAAAATGTACTTACTTCAGAAGACACACTTCGAGTATTATAATTATCGTCCCAGTATAGAGTACATATTCTGTACAGCTGCTGAACACTAAGAACCTACGAACACCGATAATAAACTAATTTCAGAAAACGAACATATTTATTTATTTTTATTTTTTTATTAGTTCAAGTAGGGATGACGTGGCGGAGGTTGATTGGCATACCGGACATAAATCATTAATTATCTCGTCATACGATATTCTGTACTTCTGATGTATAACCTGCATAGAAGAATCAAATTGCATAAGCTTGGATTACCAAATCGAAAAAAACCGCAAAAATAGAGTAAATTTGCAAGAGAAGTAGCAGTTTTTTTAATAGGAATGAACTAACCAAGAATCCAACGGCTTGTCTTATGTGTTTGAGTTCATCCCAAGCGGAGCCCGCGTACTGTGATCCCAACAACGCAAGGAGGAAATTAAAAATATATATAAATATAATTACGTCACACAAATAGAATAAAAAAATAGTACTAAGAATTAAACAGGAATAAATAATTACCTCATCTTTTGCTTGGCAGCACCACAATTCCAGCTCAGCTAGCCCCGATTTGACGTACTCCCCGTTGCTAAATGTACAACACTCCCGTCGTAGGAGAAGGCTATATAAGTCACATCATTTTTAATGGTTAAAATTAGTCATTCTTCTCAATGCAGAAACGGTTAAAAAATAAAGATAAAAATAAAAATAAAAATAAAAACACAATCACCTGTTAAAGAGTTGCACGTTTACGTACTGAAACGTTTGAGTAAATATCTTTTGTACGAGAACCGGAGGAACCTTAAAAAAAAAAAATTAGTTAGTGTTTTTTAGTTTAAAATAATAGTATACGAAATAATGAGACGAACCATAAATTAATTAAAAATACATACAAAATTTTCTTTAAGGGTAGTGAGAAGAGTGTTGAGGCAATCAATAATTCCCTGCCAGTGATTCGTATGCGACTCTTTGCCGAACGACCGACCAGATCTCAGCACACTCCCCTTAGATGTCCTTGGAGCCTAAGTTTTATTACACAAAAATCCCCCGACATAAAGCACTTGTAATAAAATATTTTGTAACTATACGTCTCAATCAAATGATCTCTAAATATACCTGAATACATAATGCAAGAAGCGAGCCCAGCTCCTTCTTCAAATTGTCTCGAATAATACCGTACATTTTTTCTACGTAGGCAATTAGCTGCTGATTGAAAAGAAGAGCCGGGTATTTGGCTTCGACTTGTTTTACTGTTTCGAGGGCCGCTGAAGCGGCACCAAAATTGACAGTAGAAGGCGACGAACGAAATCCCTGTAAGAAAAAAAGTTGTTTGTTTATTATTATTATCCTCGACTGTGTTGTCTTAAAATATTGTGGAATAGTCGTATAAGTTGTAACTAAATATATATACCATCGTCATCCTCCCGAAGAGGGAAGTTGGTTGAGGTTTACGAACCGAAGCTGTGCCAGTTGTACCGGCAGGTTTCATACTTTTTTGAAGTAAGAAGAGAAGAGTCGAGGTATTCGAGAGCCAATAAGCCATATGATCGTTGCTGTCTTGATCCTGCAATTAGTTTAGTGCTTAATTAATTTATATTTTTTAAATTCTTTCGAAGTAGTTAAAAATAAGGGTAAATTACAACCATCCCCTGAGGTATGGTCAAATTACGAAACCCCCCCTCTTGTTTGGGTAATTACAACCACCCCCCTCAACTATAAATCTTCTTACATGTTCACCCTTGCGGTTTCAAATTTAGTGAAATCTTCTAGATTATATGGAATATTATCACTTTTGTACCCGTTTTGTCACATTCGAGCTCCACATTTTGAAGCAAGATGATATGTGATTTTTGGCTTGTATATATCAGATTGTGGTGCAACAGAAACATTATTTTTTACACAAAACGAGTACAAACTAGAGCACATTCCACGGAATCTAGACGATTATGTTGAATTTGACACCGTAAGGGTGGAGGTGTAAGAAGATTCATAGTTGAGGGGAGCAGATGTAATTATCCAAAAAAGAGGGGTTTTTTCGTAATTTGACCATGCCTCAGGGGGTGGTTGTAAATTACCCTAAAAATAATAATAATAGTAATAAGTTGATGCTAAGGAAGTGGTGAATTACCTCAATAGCAGAACCAATCATTTGAACGAGACGATCGAACACACTAGTACGTTCAGCTTCGAAGGATTTCCAGTGCAGAAGACATTTATATATTGTGAAAGCTGCGACGGGTTTGCCTTGACTGAAGCCGACGTCTTTCACTACACATTCCATCAGAGCATCAACATCCTCCTGCAAAAAAAAAAAAAAAAAAAAGAATTGATTATCTTCGATTTAATAAATCAACAATTTTAATTATATGAAGGGAATCTCGTTTTTAAGATAAACGCACATGCTGACGATCAATCGGGGGTCTCCTTGGTTTGTTGTCGGGGGTTTCAAATCCTTTTTCTGGAGTAAGCAATAAATCCTGAAAGAAAAAAAACCAATTAATAATCAACATTTTTTTATTTAAAGAAAAAATATTGTCGGGATTCCAGCTTTTGATAAAAAAAATTATTTAAAGAAAAAAGAATAGTACGTTGAGTGTGATTGATTCATTAGCATGGTTTCCGTTCTCGAGTACCTGGACACAAGAATACAAGGAATTAGAAAGAATATAGGAGAGAGAAAATATTCTCGAAAAATATAAAAATTCGACCTTGGAAGCTAAATCCAGAGACTGTGGTGGCACTCCCTTATTGGTTAACAAGCTTTGCCACTGAATTTTGTTCTCAGATTCCATGTCCGCTATTCTTTCTTCGAGACTAGTAGAAAATATATTTTTTGCAACAAGAACGAAGCACGGGAAAATCAGTATAAAGCTTATAGTGAGCCAAAATATAATAAAATAATGATTTAAAAAAAAAAAACGAACCTGTGCATAGTGGTTTTCAACTTCACAATCATCGATTCTGCCTCCATGGCTTGCTTTAACCTCTCCTCACTAAGTTTGTAAGTCTCTTCGTATTTCTTCTCTGTCTCGATTATTTTTGTTTTCAAAGAGTTGACCAAGTCCTGCATGCAAAAAAAAGAAAAGGTATTTAAGGTTGTCTCGTTTACGCGTATTCGTCATTTACTTTTTACTTTGAACAAGTTGCCACAGCTTATTATTACCTTGAGTTCTGCGTTTTCAGCATTGAGCTTTTCGGTCAACTCATGGTCAACGACTGGAACCTCCTGTATTACAGGGATCGTTTCGGCTGCCGTTTTTGCGGCTTCCCTTTCCTTTACTAATGTGTCTTTAGCTTCTTTTAACTGAAGCTGAAGCTCTTGTACAGCTGTTCGCAATTTTGTGTTCTCTTGGGTTTTTGCTTCTTCTAGGTCGGTCTAGAAAAATCGGAAACGAAAAACGAAAAGGATGAAGAAGAGTTTAGGGTTAAAAATTATATAATTATAACATGTCGAAGAAGAGAGATACTACTTACTCTCATTCGTTTCTCGAGCTGTAATCTCCATGTCAATTCCTCGACTTGCTTCTCTAATTTATTCTTTGCAGCTTGTAGAGCACCAGTTTCTCTTGCCGCCTGTATTTTAAGAAGATAAGTCGAGAGAGAGAGAGAGAGAGAGAGAGAGAGAGAGAGAGAGAGAGAGAGAGAGAGGCAAACCATCTTCAAACTACGCAGTTCTTTACGAGCAACTCTTCCTCTCCAAGCAGATTGAGTGGTGATTGTAGCTTTCTTCAGCTTCACATATTTCGAATGAGCCAAGAATTTGCGACAATGACTCTGCAATTCAAGTAACCGGAATTTATATTCAGAATTTATAGTTTTTTTTTTAAACTCAATCTTGTTCAGATAATTTATCGACAGTTGAAGAACACACCTGGATAAGAATTGCCGCTTTCGTCTGCCGCCTAAACCGAAGCTCATTTCTAGCAGCCATCCCACGCATTCCGGTCTGAACCGAAAGAGCAGATGCACGTTTTTCTTTATACGCTTTTCTTGCAATGTACATTCGCAAATCTCTCTGAATTCTCAGACAAGAAGCTTCTCTTCGCTTGGTTTCATAATCGTGCCTCGCAAGTTCTCCTGCAATTTGAAAAAAAAAATCCACTTGCTTTAATAAGTATTGCCGGTCGACGAAATAATGTGAAATATTAATCCAAACAAAATTCCAATTTCAATTACCTCTGCACACGGACTGAATAAGTATTGTAGATCGACGGAAAAGTATGAAGCTTTTTCGAGCCATGTAAGAACGAATTTTCCTCTGGATAATGCTGGCCGATTTTCCTAAGATCTCGGTTCTTTTAGTGTCCAGCACTGCCATTTGACCGGCCCTTAGAAACACTTTCGTTTTACCAATCTACGGAAAATCAAAAAGTACAATGAAGATATCTACGTTCGATAATTGAAAACCACTTCGAACAATAATAAAACAAAAGCGGTCACTCAATTTTTGAGGTAACACTAATGATAATTCCGATAAAATTTCGAACTGTATATAATTCCGATAAAATTCTCGAATGTCGAAAAGAAAAGATTATGTCACCTGATATCCTTCGAGTCCGACTTTCTCCAGAAGCTTCTTGCAAACCGCAACCTCGTCCGTACTATTAAAAAAATTAAACGAAGTGTGAAAAGGGCAACATCACTGATTACGAGGAGGGTGGGGGTGGGGGTGGGGGGTGAAGTACAGAAGCAGTTATAATAAATACCTTCCGTCTAGAGCTTCGGGTGCAAGTACACCAAAACGGTCGACAAATTCGTAGAAAGGTCTTTTGGTGGGATATCCAGCACAACTTATCCTAATTGCTTCTAGAACACCCTAAATAGTACAAGAAAATAAACGAGTGCACGATACAAAAAAATAAATAACAATAATAATAAATAAATAAATAAATATTTACCCCGCAGCGTAGTTGTTGCAGCACATTTTGGTTCTCGAATATATGTGGCTTAAGAAGATTATTCGGCTTCACACATCGGATATAATGTGGTTCGGTGGCGCTCAGAGTTTCGAGCAGGGCTTGTAATTGTTGCTGCAATATTTATCTCATGAAAAAAAAAAAGTCGATATCTCGAATGCGACAGAATATAATAAAATTATGAAAATTTCATACCTTAAATCTCGAGCCAATAGAAGAAAACTTCGACTGCTTGGACGTTTCCTCGTTCGATACTGGAAACAAACTCGAAGCGAACGAACATTTGGAACCACTCAACAGTGCTTGGTGTTCGGCAATTACGTAGTCCTTGTTTTTTTCTAGAAACAACTCGGTTTGATAAGTTACCTGATAGTAGACAATTTTTTTAATGTCGAGATTAATATTAAAAAAAAAAAAAAAAAAAAAAAAAAAGTACGACGAATGCTTACATCACCAGCATAATGACAAATGGTGAAGTCGGAACGAGCTAATTTGGGTTTGCTGAAGCGTTTGTGGTTCTTGAAAGTCTGGTACAGCTTTTGTGCAAATGTGTCGTGAGTGGACCTTGGAAACATACTACAAGGCAGAAGAAAGTGCGGAATCTTTTAGATTCCGTAGAATATTCCGTAAGAATTAAATTGATTGCCCCTCAAAAGGATGAGAAATTTACCAAGCTTCGTCGAGAAGTGCAATGATGCCACCTGGCTTCTGAATAGTTTCAAAAAATGGATTTGAAATATTAGAAAAAAATTAAAGAAAATCGTTTTCTGTCGGTAAGAGAAATCATTGGCGCAGAGGTTAGAGAACCTTTTCGATGAGGTCTAAAACATCTTGATTATCGATAAACTCGATGTAACTCCAATTTATTTCTTCTCTCGTATACTCCTCTTGCTCCATTTTAAAAACGTGCTGGAGAAAAATTAAGGAGTTATATTATATTATAAGTATCGTAAAAATAAAGAATAAGAACGAATGACGAGCGTACCTGATTAAAATGCTGCTGAAGTTTCTCGTTGGTCAAGTTTATGCAGAACTGTTCGAAACTGTCGAGATACAACATTTGAAATTTGAGATTTATGTATTAAGCATTTTCAAGACACGAACGAATAAGTTCTCCGATGTTTTAAACGATGACACGTCGATTGTGCGAGAGAAGTGACGAAGGGTACAGAGTATCTTGATCAACGCAAATTATTATATTTAATATTTTATATTATTTTCGTGCGTCGGAAAATTATCATGCAACTTTATTATATTCATGCAAACGATGAAGACACAGCGTACCGGTTAAGCACCTGTTAGTCTTGAAACTCTCGAATCCGTAAATATCAAGAACCCCGATTAAATATTTCGAATTAGGATCTTGACCGATCGAATTATTGATTTTGTCCACTAGCCTGCAAATTAACGGTAAAAAGGAAATATAAGAAAATTTAATCCGTTTACAATAAAAAAATAAACAGAATTAGGATTAAACTGTTATGCTTACCAATCGAACAGCCTCGAGTAGACAACTTTGGCCAAAGCATCTCTACTTGAAACAGCAGCCTCTGGATCTAACTCTTTGGTGATCGTTTCGTCACGAGTCACGATTACACGTCTGCAAAGGGAATCTTCCAAAGCCTTTTCGTCGCACCTATAGAAATGCGGAAATTCGTCGAAGAAAAAAATAAATTATCGAATAATCTAAGCCCAAAAAGATTTTTAAAATTTAATAATTAAAATTACATGAAAAGCTCCGCTGCAGTTCTTAAATGGAACCAAGATTTTTCGTCCTTGGGCATGGACGAATCGTATTCTTTCCCCTTCGTAAATTCGATGTTCCCGAGATGGAGAATTGCAGCAATAACACGAAATATTGAGTCCTGAAAAAATAAAAAACGAAACATTTTTTTTATTTTTTTTTCCCTTGGACAGTTTTCGTGTTAAATTATTTAAAATGAATGAACACCTGTTCCTCGGAACTAATTCCGACGGTATCCATCGCATTCCTCGTTGCAGTATATTCCTTGGCATCATCGATCCCGTCAAGCTCGTAGCAATTCGTCTGGTTCAGGTAATGGAATGTTCTCGGGTTTCCTAATTTCAAATGTTTAATGTCCTGTCGATTAAACGGAAACAATACGATTAATAATCGTGATTATACATGTGAACCTAATATTTAATATTTATTAATCGAGTTATACCTCTGGTGGTGCAGCACAAAGCATATAGAAACAATGGTAGTTCCTCTCGGGATCGGACAGCTGGCAAACTCGAGATCTTTCGAGCAAGTAAGTTCTAATGGCAGCACCAGAGATTCTACCCCTTTCGTCGAACTGAAGCTCCACAAACTTACCGAAACGACTATAATTTATCAAAAAAAAATTCAGTTAATTAGTCACACGAATACGTAAAAACGTACGTAAATGCGTAGACTGTTTATTATTACCTCGAGTTATTATTTCTCACTGTTTTCGCATTACCAAAAGCCTCGAGAACTGGATTCGACTGCAGACCAAGAACAAGAAGATAATTACTCACCGCTATCGATCGATGCTACTAAACTATATACGAAGATTATTTAATTATTACCTCGAGAACTTTTTGCTCGACTGACCTTCCTTCTGACGCCAAACGACCTCCCATGTAAGCAAGATAACGCATGAGCAATTTCGTGCTTTCTGTTTTACCCGCTCCACTCTCTCCACTGACAAGAATTGCCTGACTTATTCCTTCGTTTATCATAAGCCTGCGTCCCGACAAAAATGGTTTCTTTACAACATCAACATATATATATACATACATATATATATATATATATATATATATATATATATATATATATATAATCGAAAAACGATACATGCCTGTACGCAGCATCCGCAACAGCGAAAGGGTGAGGACTCAATTCGCCAAAGGCTGCTCCTTTATATTGTGCCATCATATGACTATCGTACAGATGAGGCAATCTTTGAAACGGATTCACAGCGATTAATATATTTCCGGTGTACGTCTGCAAATAATAAATAAAAAATGAAGTGATAATAATGGGTTCGATTTTCATGCGATGAACAACTACAGTTAAAGCTCTATAAATTAATACAGTCGGGACTAGGGAAATTCTATTAATTTAGCAAATTATTAAATTATCGAGTTAATAATTTTAACATGTTTTCACCGAGTTGGGACCGAGAGAAACTACTATTTAACCGAGGCTATTAATTTATCGAGGTTCTACTGTACTACGAAACGTGGGACTTACGTATATCTCGTTTATGTCGTATCTGGATTTCAGATTTTGTAATACTCCCGGTTCGTGCAAATACGCGAGCTTTGTCATGTCATCGACCCCACAAGGTGGGGCTTCGGCGTCTTTTGGATATACATTTGACGACTTGACCACAACCTGTAGAAAAAATTGAATCTTGAAATTAAAACAAACAAACATAGAAGATCGAAAATGGTGTGTTTCGAGTTTGCTGAGGAAAAACGGACCGTCTTTCCGGTTGTACAAAGGACTTTGATGTCATCGCCATTGACCGATATGACCTCACCATCAAGCCAGGCTTCATCGTGATCCTCCACCCAAACAAGAGATCCTACAGCCACCGAAGCAACCTGCGAAAAAAATTCGACACGGTTTACATTTTGGCAGTTGTCTATACTGGAATTTGCATAATCAACAACCGTGTTTTCAAATTAACGCAGCACAAGCACACAATCGAATGCGTAAGTTGAAATCAAACTACAAGAGCAAAGGACAAACAAACTGGCATTAGGGGCAAAGGACAACACAACATCGGATTTTGTTCGCTTAATAATCGAATAATGTCCGAATGTAACTAACAGAGGGAATATGTGAACAGGGAAAATGAAAAATTTCGATTAAATGAACAATAAATCAATCAGGTTTTCAAGATTTTAAAAATAAATTAAACTAAAAGAATCAAACAATCATGCCACATGCACTTCAAAATAACAAAATTAAAAAAAAAAATTAAAAAAAATAAATAAATAACTACCATTTTGCAATAGCTTCACTCAGATCAGAAACTTCAGCTCCGCATCGATCAAATATCAATCCCCAACCCAAAATTAAAATAATTAATAATAACAATAATAAATAAATAAATATTACAGTTCAGAGAAAGCAGATCAATCCACCACTGTTTCTCCAAATACCTAAAAATAAAAAATCTAATCCCAAAAAATCAACAATAAAAAAATGACTCTAAATCTTTATGCACAAGTTCTTCGAATTCTTTCTTCACATACACACACTGCTAAAAAAACTAAAAAATTAAAATAACAAAAAATAAACAAAGATCTGACAGCAGAATGAGCTCCGTACATCCACCGGTCCGATTTTTGAATTAAAAGTGGGAAAAAAAATCGGATAGGAGTTGAATTTCTTGTGAAGAACAGTAAAAAAAAAAACGAAGAAAAATGAGAGGATTATTAAAACATTAAACCCCTATTTTTGCTGTGCTAAGTAAACGGAATTTTGTATTTTCTTTTTATTTTTCAGACACAGTCTTTTCTCTCTTCTGTCCCACGCTGTTCGGGATTTGGTCTTTGTTTTTTCTTTTTACTATTATATTTATTTTTATTATTACAACAATTCGTCAATTAATTGAGAACTGTTAGAAAATGCCTATTAAATGAGGTTAAATTCCATTAATGCCCTTCCTAGATACGCGTTATTACAAATTCGGGATTTGGGGGCATCCCTCACCCGACAGGTGACGTAGGGTTTTTTTTTAACTGGGGTCCACCGTTTTGAATGCCACGGCGACGGTTTAGGGTTGTTGACCGTATACAAAATACAAATAAATACACACAGTATATACGTACACTGTGTGAGTAATTCTTAATTGTATTTACTCTAACCATCAATATTTAATTGTATTCAAGAATAGTAGAGTGTTATTTAAAATTGATGTTACTGTCACAAGTCACAACTCACAATTATAAATGCACATTAATTATATATGTGTGTTATACAATTCAAATATTAAAGGTGTAAATATATCGAGCTAGGCCGATAATGTTAGTGATTTCGCTTGTAATTTCTAAGTTCAAGTTCGAGCCGAGTTTGTCGAGCTCAAACTCATTTTTCTTTTTCCTTTTTTTTTGTATTAAAAAAATTGATCTAGACTGTAATCGGCCTATAAAGCCCAAAGCACGAAGCCCGTTAAGAAATAGTTGAGTCCGGTGCACATGACCCACCAGAAAACGAGGCTCATAGAAAGGAATGGTCTTGAACACTCCGTAGTCCCATTAATAAGAGAGTGGAGGCAACCACCCGAATACGCCAACGTCACTCGGGCATCCCATCACTCCAAGAAAGATCGGGGTAAGTCATAAATAACGTTGACAGTATCGTCAGCGGCACATTAAATGCTCTGACAGTAGCAATTAATGTCCGAATGATCAGGTGCGGCTAAACGGCGTGCGCACAAGCATCATAGTCAGACCTATATGAGGGATCATCATGATCCACCGTCCAGACAGCGAGAAGGGACGCCGCTGGTAATCGCCGACCTGTATTCCTGGGCCCTCAAACGATGAGCCGAGGGGCCATTATAAAAGAGGAGTATATATGTCTCAAAAAGGGGGTATCTTTCATGGTCTTTAACACATATAGTATAAAATATAAGTAATCCTTGCTAAAAACAATCAGTGGCCCATTACTGATTTAATCGTCGGAGTGCTAACTCCGGCGTCAATCCGGTTCTCTTCCTAGCAGGTGATAGCTCAAGCAAGCCAAAAAGGGATCACTGAATCACGTTGTTTTTGGTACGAATCAAAAATGATATGTTATAATGAAAAATTAAAAAATGAAATGAACTGATTTTATTTAATATCATTTCTTTCATATGTATTTATATCATTGTTATATTATATCTTATATTATTTATATATTAAATAAAGTTTATAAATAAAATAAAAACAATCGGGAGCCATTTTGTGAGCTCATAAACAACTAAAGTAAATTTGAGGTCAAGCTGAAGAAAATCAATTCTTACCTCGAGACTTTATCAAGTCAACTCAATTCATTCATACCTGCCTGAATGATTCTTTTAGGATATGCTTTTTTAATTAATTATTAAGTAATCCACCTATTTGCTAAAGAATATGTTTTTTAATTAATTATTAAGTAATCCACCTATTTGCAAATACTTATGAATTATGATGCATGTGTTCAGGATTCGAGTGGACACCAGGTCCGGGTCCGCTACCTTAACGGGCCGTTGAGTTACCATGATTTACATTCCTCCATCAATCCTTGTCGGGCCAAGGGATGGGGGCCCTGGGGGCGAGGGATTTCGCCTTTCGGTGCAAGGATTCGAGCTTTTATTCGAAACAACGGTTGAACTCATCTACAATCCTACCAAAATGTGCATTATCCAAATTATTTTTGTATTTTTTCAATTATATATTAATAAAAATTATAAGTCCTTCACCAACATCTAAAGCGCCGAATTTTGCCGGGATACTAGGAACTCAAGCGTCGAGATGCAAAAACTTCCTCCAATATTTGCCCTCGACCTCCTCGAGACGTGCGCTGATTTCTACAGTCGTCTGAACTCCACCTTCGAAGTTGGGGTCGTCTTCCAAAAGCCTATGCGTTCGAAGTTGGCGTCGTTGCATCCAAAACTTCCGTCATTGAAATTAATTAGTGCCGCTAGACACCAAACATCTGCCCTCAAAATTCACACCGCCATCCATACTATTCTGAATCCCGAGAAGTGCGTTCACACCAAGCTCCAAAAAAATCTAGAAATTCTGCCAACTCCCCCGAGGCTTCGAAATTTTTGTCGCCCATAATGCCATGACGCCCAACACCGCCTCTATGGGATCCTTGTAGCCTACTTTTAAATTTAATGGAAAATTTTACGTGTTCGAGCCACCATTTTGAGGTTACTCACATGACCACGGGCCCGTGGCCCAACTTGGATGTGACGGACTTAATAATGTTTATAATTGAACTTTGACCCAAATTGACCAAAATTGACCATTAAAGAAAAAACTCAATTAATTCACTAAATCAGATTTAAAAGAAGTTCATCTTACCACATCAACTTTCTACAAAAAAATCCACCTTTAAATATAGTTAAATATGTATGATGCTATTCACATACTAAAGTACATTCTATATGGCAAGTTAAAAGATTTCTTGCTTATACTTGCAACTGTGTTTTCTGTACTTGAGCATCCGAAAACAATCATCGGGCCACCATCAACGTGTCACCTAGTGTTTGTCATATGTTTCATAGCTTAATGAGCGGTCTTCATTCATTTTGACTACCTAAGACACATGGCAGTAACCTTCGGCATTCTCTGCTCCCTTGACTCAAAGAGTCTTCGATTACTCGATCCACATTTGAACCAAGTATTTATAGGTTAAAAAAAAAAGGTTGTTGAAGAGGGTAAATTGTAAATCAAAAAAAAAAAGAGATGTTGGTAGTGCCGAACAAATGGACCATCCGACCTCGGCTGTGGCACTTAGAAGGCGCCCAGTCCGGCCCATCGTTTTTACAAGCCGGCCCGTCGGCCCACTGAGGCATAACGCAAGCACAACCCGAACCTTTAGTTCATTTTACGCTATTCTGACGAGGCCGAGGCCAAAAAGAAAAAGGATCGTATAATTATATGGAACAAGTTTATAAGCTATAAAATTGTTTTATATTTAATATATAAGTAATATAAATATTTATTACTAGTACAGAAGTAAAAAAGAAAAAAACTCACAAAATAGAAACTTATTGAAATAAGCACCACTATTTGAAATAAAGAATCATGTCATTATCTAAGGCAAGAACTGCAACAGGTAAATCAAGATATCAGTCCAGAAAAACCCAGCCAAAAACACTAAAAGGAAAATACCAAGCTGATGACCACTTCTTGTTTTAACATCAATCACTGCACCATAAGTAGTTTGGCCATCACTTGGGATCTCTACACTAAAAAAGAAGTCAAACGAGGATCGGTCCGCTGTGGAAGACCGGTTCTTGCCCCCATGGCTCTGCACCCAATACCAGCCTATACAAAACAAAATCGAGGAGAAATAGAAGGTATAAGAAGCTTTTTTTCTTGAAAATATCCCAAATACTAATTAGTTATCGTTTAACTATTCTGACAAGAATAAACGTTACGACTGACCACTTGAGCGGCAAAAGGCAGCATCTTTTGAGCTGGCATGTCGGCGCAAAGAGCTGCAAAGGTAAAGTCAACAGTAACGTAAATATAGAATGCATTGGGTTATATGAAATATTTATTAATATCGTCTTTGTATTTTTTTACTAACCGTAAAGAATTGCTCCGATAAATGAATCACCAGCACCGGTAGTATCAACAAGTTCGGAAGCTGGAATCTTCTCGGCTGTTCCTAAAAGCAGCCTGCCGCATACGGACCCTATCCCCTTTGCGCGCAATTTCACCTCATTCTGAAAGATAAAGTTGCACACGATACAGAGTTACTGCACATAATTTTAGATAAGACCAAACTAAGTTTTTGCAGAAAGGAAATTACCGACGATACGCATGTTGGGAAGGTGGTGTCGGAATCCTTTTTCAGCTTTAATGTCTCTAATAAATCATCGACATCCACTTCTTCAGATAGCCCACTTTCTGCAAATAAATACGTTACAAGATTCAAACTTGCAAGAAAGACGGAAGAATATTCATTTTGTATATATCATTAATATATTTACGTACCACTTGACCTCTCAAGCATCACACAACCATCTTCACCCAACGTGACTACTACAAATTTGATATTCGGCAATTTTAGAAGCATAGAAACGAGTGCACTAGGGACAGTTGGAGCGCCTGTCCATTCCTGTGAGACAAAGAAAAGACAAAATTAGGTTCCGACTCTGCTTTAAGATAGCAAACGCAATAAATTAAAAAAGTATTATATTTTTAGCATGTGTAAGTCTAGTAGTGTTATCTCTCTGCTTCCAAATAATTCTCCATAGCTTTTTGAGACTTTCACTCAAACGAATCAATTAAAATACTGACGTCTTGCAAGCATTATATTTTACTGTGTCGACACTTTTTATAAGAAATTAATGTTAAAATAGGGTGCATAAAATGAAAAAAGAAAACGAGCAGTATTAACCTGAATGAAATTCAATAACAATGTAACCCGACGTGAAATTTTCTCTCTGTCTACATGAACTACAGTCCACAGACCATTGCATGAATTATGTGATTCATCAATGCAGTCACGTTGTTACCAACACATAAATGAAACAATTTAGAAGAATATTTTTGAAATGGTGAATAGAAGAAGTGAGATTGGCTTGCCTGTGGAAATTTAGCCGAGCATATGGCATAATTCGACAAATTCAAAAGATCGTCCAAACCTTCTCTCTTCCTTTCCGCGTCGATTAAAATAGGAATACCTCTACGAGTTGCCTGCTCTGGAAAAGTGTGGTATACTTTGTCAACAGAATCAAGTCTAGAATATTTGCGTACAATAAACTTAAAAAAAAAAAAAAAAAAAAAAAAAAACCCAACCGTCAATTACCTCGTGAGCCACAATTAAAGCAGTCTCGTGCAGCCTTCCGTCAGAATACACTAGCCTTGCACCATCCAATGCTGCTGACAAGTTCGATTCTGTTAGCTCGCCAGGTGTCATGGGAGGATAACCTGGAGTGTGGATACAAGTCCTTGTTTTCCTGAAAGACAACCAATATGTATATCAACTCGGCTTTCTTTTACGGTTAGAAAGGTATTTATTTCTTCATCATTCATGCTCACAAATAAAGTATAAGTTAAAAAATAGAGAAGATAAAATCAAGTGACGAGTAAAGACAGACAGATTAGTAAAATGTGCGATGGGACTTCGAACATATTAAAACAGCAAGAAAGCAGAAACACTGACGTTTGTTCATCAACGATAATATAGGTGAATGGTGAGTTTCCCCCTTCAGAAACCTGAAGGCAAAAAGACAATGCAAAATTATGATAATAGTTACAGCATCTGCAAAAACCGTGTTGACGAAAGCGAATTTGAAAGTTGAATAGCAGCTTCTGACAAGTAATATATATAATGAGTTGAAAAAAATGAAATCTTACCACAATAAGTGATGAATCGACTCCATCAGCTTCTAGCTCCTCTATTATCCCTTTACCTTGAGGATCACCAGCTACCTAGGCAACAAATGACACATACAAACTGTCAGTTTTAAATATATTAATATCGAGAAATTAAAAGATGCATAACCATAAAAGTTAATAGACCTTGGAAATCAGCCGAGGTTTTAAACCCAGACGAGCCGCACATGTCAATGCATTCCCTGCATTCCCACCTCCTTGAACCTATCCCCAAAACACATACATTCGAATTACCAATACTGATAATAACATTCACATCAATGATTTGCTTAATCTACTAGAGGGAAACTTTAGTGATTGAAAACAAAAGGGATTATATATATTTATATAAAAAAGAATACAATTGTGGAACCGCATTCATGTTGATAAATGGCGCCGATTCCAATCCGAGACTTTCCAATTTTGGAACAATATTTTCCACACCGAATTCTGAAAAATCCGATTTCCGACTTTTTCTAAATTTTATGGATTGGCATTGGAATACATATGAATTTGCTAAAATAATTCCGAAAATCCCGGTTTTAACTTGCACTTATAATTATTATGTGATTCCAATCCAAAAGTACCGATTTTTATTCATTCCAAATTCTGATTTAAAAAAAAAAGTGGAACCAATTGGGCTTTTTTTTTTTCTTTCACTTCCCATTAGATCATGTCAATTTCCAGGCGATTTTTCAACCCTAGTTCAAAGTATTACCTTGGAGCTGGTGCTTCTAGTCTTATCATCAGGGCTCGGATAAGAAGCCACAGCCGCCAAATAATCCATCGTTAATCCTCCACAACCCAACTGCATAATCAAGCACAACCCCAATTAATCATAAACACAAGTAAATACAGATTCATCACCTGAGCGGGATTCTCTAGGAGAAACATTAGCAATTACCACAACGCGATTATCTGGGAGAGGAGGCAGCGCCTGCGCGGCGGAAGACATCTTAAACCTGCATCAATCAAATTACAAAGCGCGCTAAATTGCTGAGCTGAAAGGGGGGAGATTTTTAGTAAATATACTTAAGTGAGAGATTACCGTTTGGTCGAAGGTTGTAAATGAAATGGTGAAGGTGTTTGATGAAATACCTCTGAGAAGATGAAGAATGAAATGCACACGCCGGCGAGAAATGGGGTTTGATTAGAGAGGCGGGTGGAGCTGGGCGAACGTGGAATGTAATTGTTGTCGCCATTCACTCAGCATCAGCGCAACACAGAGAATCAAGATATGGATGGGCAATAGAAAAATATGCGCGACTGTAGTTTGCTTTTTTTTTTTTTTTTTTTTTTTTTTTTTTGAGAAATTGAAATAGAGTTCTTATTCTAAAAATATGCAAAAATAATTTCCAATCCAATTTTCAATTTTCACAAATAATTAATATCATTAAAACATGAGACCACATATGTTCTCGTTATATAACCAAATCGGAATAGGAAAAATTGTGTTCGCTTTGTAATACTTCAAGAGTTCGTGTGTCCCGCAAGGGATGGCCTCACGGTTGGAGCAACTCGGTTCGTGTCGATTGACTCAGGTTCAAATACCTTTGTGAGTTTAAGGTTGAAAGAGTTATTCATGAATTTTGAATTTTAATTGTTTTAATACAATAATTTAATTTCAAAAAAATAGTGCAAATTTTAAAAAAAATTATTAAATTAATTTAATTTCAAAAAATAGTGCAAATTTTAATAAAATAATAATAATAATTACAAGAATTTCCTACATTTGCCATAATATTTATTACTTTTATATATAAAATAAAATTCTCTTAATTATGAAAAAAAAAAAACAAAAAAGGAAACCTTAATGTATAATATCCAAAACTCTATTATCCACTCACTTATTAGACTTGTCCTCCTAAATCCTAATTATTTAACATTTTATTTTTGATTGTTATCTAGTTTTTATTTATTTATTTATTGATAAGATCCGCAGCAGTGAAATAAGAAATCTCCATTAATTAGGTCATCCTTTTTGGGGATTAATGCTACATTCGAATATTGAATCTTGATCAATTCATTATCCTCCAATTTCAACTTCCACCTTCCCCGCCCGTTTCAGTAAAACCCTAATTTCTAAAATCCGAGTCCCGCGCGACCAATCACTTGAAGCAATCATTCCACTTGATCATGGCAGGTGAATTCATGCTGTTTTTCGCACAGTTTTCAATGTTTTATTTCCGGTTCTCTGTTTTAGTGCTCATATTTCTTTATATTATCGTGCTTGCGTATGTTGGGGCGATTTTTTCCTTGCTGTTTTGATTCTTTTTGCTGTTCCTTTATTTGTTTTTAGAGCTAATTGCAAATACCTCCCCTGTGTAATCTCTAATTGGCAAATACCCCCTTGTCAAAAAAAAACTCACCAACACCCCCTCGTGTAATCAATTTCAAAACTCACAGCCCCCTCTGTGTTTTTAGGCATTGACTAAAAGTGAAATGACACAAATGCCCTACGGGTTTTTCAGCAATTAGTAAAATATATATTGTACATATTTATTTGTTAAAATTTTCTTAACTCTGTATTAATTTAATTAAACCAAAATTTATTAGACAATTATTTTTAATTTTTGTGTAGTTATTTTTAATTTTATAAACATTATTTATTAATAATTTTGAAATTAAAAAATATTAACAGAAATTAAACATGTATTGTTGTATTAAAAGATTTTATATGTTTTATATTTTTTTATATTAAATTTTAATTTAAATTAAAAAAAAAAAGAAAAAAAAGAGCAAAAATAGCTCTTCTTCTTCCCCGCTCCGCCCCACCCCACCCCCACCCCACCGACCACCCAAATCAACACTTCTTCTCCCCACGCACCTGCCCCACCACCGGCTCATCTTTCTTTCACCCCGACATTCGCGTAGTGCAATTCTCCTCCAATTTCACTATTCCTATGGCAGTGGATCTGCAATTTGAACAAAGACGGTGACGGCGGTGCTCGACGGTCCAGAAGGCGGCGGTGGTGCGAGACAGGCCAGAGAGCGAAGGTGGTGCTCGACGGTCCAGAAGGCGGCGGTGGTGCTAGACTGGCGAGAAGGCGGCGGTGATGCTGAAGTTTTTCCGGGCTGGGAGGTGGGCGGCGGAGTGAAACGAAGAAGATCTGAAAAAATCTTCAATTTTTGTCCCTTATTGCAATTTTGGAAATTTTAAAATTTACAATTTGGTCCTATAAATTATAGTTATTTATAATTTGACCACTCGGATTTTTTATTTATTTGTACAGGGGTATTTATGACATTTCACCCTAGAAATAACATAAAAATTCGCAGAGCCCGCGCGTGAGAGACACGATTTGCCTTAAGGGGTCTAGATGCATTGACTTTGGTTACACAGGGGGGCGTTGGTGAGTTTTTTTTTGACAGGGGGGTATTTGACAATTAGAGATTACACAGGGGAGGTATTTGCAATTAGCTCTTTGTTTTTATGATAATATGTTGTTATACTTTAAATTTCAATAGCTGTTGATTGTATGGGAATTTGACTAACAGAGGATTGATTACACAATCCTGCAAACAGAGCCAGGGCCGTGTCGTTGTAGATATTTGCAATGCTTAGTAGTTTAGTACTTTGTCGACGATAATCGCGACAGTGAAAATGTGAAACCGAGACGGAAAGTTTCCGATATTGTGATTTTTCATCCTACCTTTTTCGTTTTTAACTCGTTGATTATTTCTGTGTACTACTATTAAACGACATGTTTCGGTGCATGCGGTTTTCTGACGACATTTGCTAATAATTGCTATTTGAAATAACCCGTGTGCAGAGGCCTTCACTGGTTTTGTCGATTGATGAAACTGATTGCGAATGGCTAAAAAGATTGGAATTTCGTAGCTCATTAGGCTGGAAATATTTTGGAATCGACAGCTGTTATTGAGAGAATGGAGAATACGGGAACTGCACTTGGTCCGAAGGGCATGATCAAGAAGCATGAGCTGGTACGAATCATCGTCCAATGCTTATACTCACTAGGCTACAATAAATCCGCCGCATGTTTGGAATTAGAATCTTGCATTACAAGTAAGTCCCCGGAATTTGAATCACTTGAATCACAGATTTTAAATGCAAAGTGGGATGATTGCATCGGGAGTATTAATAAAATCGATGGTTTGAGTGATGAAACGAGAGCTTCAGCATTGTTACTTGTTCTTGAGCAGTGCTTATTGGAATGTTTGAATTGTGGGGACATCTCTCTGGCGTTGGACATACTACGGAAACAGTTTTCAGCTTTGAAGATTGGAAAAGAAACGGTTCACAAGCTCTCTTATGAACTGCTCTCTTTGAAAGGGTTGGGATTGGCTTGCATTGATTGTGACGAAGTTCATGAATTGCGAAAAAGATTGATATTGAAGCTGGAAAAAGTTTTACCGCCGCCAATTACATTACCCGACAGAAGGCTGGAACATTTGGTGGAAATGGCCGTATGTGCGCAGGTTGAGGATTGTGTGTATCACAATTCATCTGATATGATATCGCTGTACAAGGACCACAATTGCGGGCGAGATCAGTTTCCAACAGAAACTATTCAGGTTGGTTTACAGAATACGTCAAACTCTTGATGTAAATAAAAATATTACAGTCTTTAAATAATCTGAGAACTAATTTTTATGTTCTTATTATGGCTATTTATGTACTTCAAATTTGAACTTGGGTTGGATCTCGTCAACTGTTTCTGATTACACAAAGCTTTTATTGCTTCTCCCAATTCGTTTTCGAGCAGGCACCTTTGGTCAAGATTCGTAAAATATCAATATTAGGGTTTTCTTAGTTGGTGATGTGAATTTTCACTTGTTATTTGCAAATTTACCTTTTTCGGTTGACATGCCATCTGCAATATGCATGAGAACGAGAGTGAATGTTGAATAATCTCGACAATTATATTTGCAGTGAATATGAGTTTGTTTCTTTGCCTTCAACTCGTTTAACTTGTGCTCTCTATGCTTTATCTTTACGCAGATATTAACTTATCATCAAAACGAAGTATGGTTCGTTCAATTCTCCAACACTGGAGAATATTTGGCATCATCATCAAGTGACTGCACAGCCGTTATATGGAAGGTACATTTGTTCTCTTCTTACATTCTTACTGCCTTTTGAGTAAGTACAGTTACTGCTGGTATTACTTGAACTATGTTGATGACTTAATTCTTAAAAGCTTTTTATTTGTTTTCTATTAATGTTTGCTTATTAGATTTTAACATGACTAACACATGTGTTTTAGCATTCTATGGCGATGTAATATTTTGCACGGGGTGTGTAAATCAATTCTATATCTTTCTTAACAATCATTATTTTCTTCTAAAAACAAAAAAAATTTCAAACATACGATGAAGAGACTGGTGATGATCTTGGATATTTTACTTCTTTCGTTATATGTTCTCCGAAACCCTTAGGGAAAACTGACAGTTAACTCCATGTTTGCGGCTTCTTTTCCCCTTGTTCAGGAAGTTAAACCTTGTTAAGGATGCTTCCTGGTGGAAGTTGGACACTTAATCTCTTAGTGCTTGAGTGTCTCCAACTGCCTAATCAGGTGAGGCAAACATGTTCGGGTTAGTTCGATGGTTGCAGATATATTAACGGATATGCAATCATTTTTCCTCATACACATGCAATGTTTATGTTACTATTTATATTCTTTTAAACTTCTTTGACGAACTACTTCAAGTTATAGTTGTTATTAAGAAACTCATTGATTTTAGTTCATACTTTTACCAATTTATCAAACCTCTTAGAAGGTCCGCTGTTTCTTACTACACTTAGGCCTCGTTTGGTTGGTGAGATTAGCCATGATTAATTTAATAACTGGACTTTGTTTCATGTTTGGCAAACCCAATACCGGGCCGACCTGGAAATATCATTTTATCATGGCCTATCTTGCCTTTTAGTGAGATAGTCCAATAATATAATTGGGTATTCTTTGGGTTATTTAATCTTATCTTGGCTAATCTTATCTTAGCAACCAAACGAGGGCTTACAGTATCTTTTTTCCAGGTGCAGGATGATAATAAAGTGACCCTAAAGCACATCCTGTGCAGCCACAAAAACCCCGTCTCCTTTGTGGCATGGAGTCCAGACGACACCATGCTGCTCACATGTGGAAACATGGAAGTCCTCAAACTCTGGGAAGTGGCAACAGGCACATGCAAGCACACGTTCGGCGACGACAGTTTCATAGTGAGTTCTTGCGCTTGGTTTCCGGATTCCAAGCGTCTTGTCTGTGGCAGCTCAGATCCTAAGAAGGGCATCTACATGTGGGACTGTGACGGCAATGAGATCAAAGCATGGAAAGGAATGCGCATGCCGAAGATTCTCGATCTTGCTGTCACACCAGATGGGGAGAATCTTATCAGCATCTTTTCAGACAAAGAGATAAGGATACTGAACGTGACCACAAATGCCGAGCGTGTTATTACAGAGGAGCACTCCATTACGTCTCTGTCCGTATCCGAAGATAGTAAATTCTTGATTGTCAACCTTAACAGCCAAGAGATTCATATGTGGGATATTACACGGGAAGGGGTGAAGTCACAAACGTACAAGGGGCATGTGCAGCAGAAGTATGTGATTCGGTCGTGCTTTGGTGGGTTGAACAGTATGTTTATTGCCAGTGGTAGTGAAGATTCCAAGGTACTTTCCTCGTCCTTTTACTACATCGTCGAGATTATTGGTTTAATCTATAATAAGGGGGTGTCTGCATAAGCTTATGTAAAAGTAGTAGAAGTTGGTGATTATGAAGTTGGAAATAATCGCTTATTTCTAGAAGTCGGTGGTGTTTGCAAATGTCATTAAAAATCAACTTTAAGCAGTTGGATTATAAGTTGCAGTTATGATAAGCCGTCTTAAATTAAATGTCCTTAAAAATTGGATTGAGTTATAAATAATGACATAAATGTCCAATGTCGCTTTAAGCCCAAGAAAGGTGCGTGCTTTTGAGATTATGGCTTAAAGCAACTTATTTTACGAGAAGCAAAAGCATAAGTTGCCTTTGCAAAAACTTAAAAAACTGAGTATGAGCCAAGAAAAAGCTCATAAGCACTTTTGAAAAGCTTTTGTAAACACCACCTAAGTGTGCATGTGGAACTTGATCTTGTTTGGATGAGTTCGTTACTTCTTGATTTGAGCACGCTATTGAGAGTTATTATAGTGGATTTGAAATTTACTTAATAAGAAGTCAATTTGAAATCCTACTCGGAATGCATTTAGTACTGGTGTCACAAATTGATGGTTGGAAATTTGATTTCTGCAAAATAATTAGAATCGAAGTTTTTTGCGTTTTTCTAACAGGTCTACATTTGGAACCGTCGAAGTCCTGTTCCAATCGAGATTTTGTCTGGGCACTCGATGACTGTAAATTGTGTTAGCTGGAATCCCAGACGACCCCAAATGTTAGCTTCTGCAAGCGATGATAACACAATACGTATATGGGGCCCGAGTCGTTTGAAGTAGATGAAACAATCGAGGAAGCTCGACTGAAGAGGTCACTCGTGTGCATATGGCAGCCTTAGCGTTTATTAGCTACTTTTTTCGTCTGTGGTTCCTTCTGTAAATATACGAGGTTTAATGTATATTCTCAAGCATTTTGTTTTGCTTTGTTTCCACATTATTCAATTAAATGATTAGCTTGTGTTATTGACTTTTTTAGTTGATTAATAAACTTTTTGTATTTGTACTAGTTTTATAACATCAAATTTTGTGAGTTGATATCAATGGAACAAGTTATTATTGTTATTGGTTTTAAATACTAGTTGGCTTTTCAAATTATTACACTTTATTTAGTTTTTTAAAGGGCAAATGGCAAAGAAGGTAATGATAGACCCCCCTAATTAAAAAATGTAAATCCAACCCTTTTGCTTTGCATATAAATCCGATCATTTATTGGGACTAAGGAAAAGTCTAACCTATATGTAAATTTAAGCCAAATCCTTTCTAACTCCAATTTAACCTCATTTTTATATGTTCAAAAAAAAAAATTAGAAAAAGAAAAACCTCATTTTTCATGATTTAAACCCTAATTTAACATCAATTTAGCCAATTCACACATTTTAAACCATAACCCAATTTTAACCTTGATTTTGATGGTCGCCGTCGTTGAATTTTTTTATTTTATTTTATTTTTTATTTTTTTTTCCTGAAATTTATCTTTTCCTATCGTTGACCTGCGTTGGCATTTTTCTTTTTGAAATTGTTTTTTTTTGTAATTTTTTTCCGGGCGTCGACTCTTTTATTTATGCCGGCATGACTTTTTTTTCTTCTATTTTGCTTCTCCGACCAACACATAAATATTACTATCTAACACATATTACTCATATTAGTGTTATTATTTTTTTATTTTTTTATTGTTATTGTGTTACAAAATAATATTATTATAACACACAAAAACAATAATTAAAAAATCTATATAATATATAAAAGTTGAATTCCACACCTAATTGATTGACATTTGTCAATTTTAATTGGTGACATGTATTCAATTTCATCTCATGTGGCAAATTGATTGGTGAAAATAAATCATCAAAAAACATGTCACCATTTTCCAAAATTAAAAAGATATTAAATTCTTTTACTATATATTTGTATCATACCATTTATAAAATGCTCTAAGTATATCAATTTTCTAACTTTAAAAAGTTTTACTTTTTAATTTCATTTTAATAGTAATTAATTTAGTTTAAATTTATTGAAATTCAATTTAAAATCTTCACTTATTATAATTGTATGATTGATGGTGTTACGAATTTTTTTTTAATGGTGTTACGAAAATTTTGTATTTTAATTCATAAAATTGGATTTATATAAAAAAAATATTGCATAATAAATTATTTGATATTATACGTTTTACATGAACATGACCAGAGAATATGTTTATCTTTTTTTACTAATTTAATATTAGTAAGTAGCAATTTTTTCCTAATGTTTGTTTCCGTCTTACATCGACCCCCTTAAGGTATGATTGTTCACGTAATTTTTTTTATTACGTGGAATATTCCCCAAAAAATGCAGATTCTACCCTGCACACGATATTTGTTTATGGTACGCTTTAAAGACAAAAATTACCCCGAGGGGGAACTTTACACGAAATATTTATTCTTCTTAAATAACATCTTCACAATTTTTTAGTATTACTATTACCTCCTTTAAGGGTAATTTTTGTATTTAAAAAGTAAGATAAAAGAAATGTCACGTTTGCAAGGGTAGAATCCACAATTTTTGGATATTACATGGAATAAAAAAGATTCCGTAAAAAATCACACCACAAGGGGTCGTGTAAGACATAAACAATCATTTGGGGGATTTATTAATTACCGATAAGTGGGGTACTTTCTGTAATTTAGCCTAAGTTCATGAGGATTTTCATAATTTATCCTATTAACAACGATTCGTTCTTTTCACGTCTCAACGTTTGCTTATACCGTTATATTATTTTAAATAATTTTAATGTCAGCTTGATAATATAATTAAATAGTAATTTCTAATATATTTAATATGTGTTTCTTGATGTTTCAGGTACCACACATAAGGAATTAGACATAAAAGTTGTGAGATTGAATATAATTATTTTTTTATAAAAAATAATAGATAATTGCAAAAACATTGATGCAAAATCAGAATTAGGACTGTATCAACATTGATGTTTCAGAATCAGTATTAATTGCAAAAACATTGATGTTTCAGTATCAACATTTGTATCAATATGAATATCAGTATCAGTATCAATATCAATATCAATATCAGTATCAGTATCGATATTAGTATCACTATCAGTATCAGTATCAGTATTAGTATCAGTATCAATATCAATATTAGTATCAGTATTAGTACAAGTATCAGTATGAGTATGAATATCAATATTAATATTAGTATTACTATGAGTATCGGTATTAGTATCATTATCAATATCAATATAAGTATTAGTATTAGTTTTAGTATTAGTATTAATATTGCAATGGGTATCAGTATTAGTATCAATATCAGTATCAGTATTAATATTAGAATTAATATAATATTACTATGAGTATCAGTATGAGTATAAATATTAGTATCAGTATAAGAATTATTTTTGTTATTAGTATCAGTATTAGTCTTAGTATTAGTATTAGTATTACAATTAGTATTAATATTAGTATCAATATCACTATTAGTATCACTATAAATATCAGTATTATTATTAATATTAGTATCAGTATTAGTCTTATTCTTCGTATTAGTATTAGTATTAATATTAGTATTAGTATTAGTATTAGTATTAGTATTAATATTAGTATTAGTATTAATATTAGTATCAATATAACTATCATTATCAATGTAAGTATCAATATTAGTATCAATATTTGTATTATTCTTAGTATTAGTATTAGTATTAGTATTAGTATTAGTATTAGTATTAGTATTAGTATTGGTGTGAGTATGAGTATTATTATTAGTATCAGTATTAGTATTAATATAAGTATTAGTATTAGTATTAGTATTAGTATTAGTATTAGTATTAGTATTAGTATCAATATCACTATAATTATCAGTGTAAGTATTAATATTATTATTAGTATTAGTATCAATATTAGTCTTATTCTTGGTATTACTATTAGTATCAATATGAATATTAGTATTAGTATTAATTTTATTATTAGTATTAGTATTAGTATTGGTACGAGTATGAGTATTAGTATTAATATCAGTATTATTATTAATATTTGTATTAATATCAGTATTAGTATCGGTATTAGTATTATTAGTATTAGTATTAGTATTAATATTAACATTAGTATCAGTATTATTACGAATATTAGTATTAGTATCACTATTAGTATTAACATTAGTATATGTTAGTATTAGTGTTAGTATTAGTATTAGTATTAGTATTTGTATTAATATTAGTATTTGTATTAGTACTATTATATTAGTCTAAGTATTAATATTAATATTAGTATCGAGTTAGTATCACTATTGGTAACAATATTGGTATCAACATTGGTGTTGGTATTGGTAGTGGCGTATACATCATATCTCTTTATTTATAAGTTTTATTGTTGTAAATGTACATCACTAATTGAACGCCATTAGTGATAAACTTGCAGGTTATTTGAATATCTATTGTGTTACTCATGGTTGTCAGAACCGGACCGGACCGGACGGTCCGACCGGTTCGACCGCGACCCGGAAATATACCGGGCCGGTTGGATGCTGAAAACCAAGAAAAGCAAAAACCGGGGTCAACAGGCGAAAACCCGGTTTGACCGGCCAAAAACCCGGAACCCGGAAACCGGTTGAAGACCCCGGTTTTTGTTCAAAACGGCGCGTGGTGGAGAGATCTTGGCGGTGAACGCCGTTTGGTGGGGGGATCTGGGAGATATGGGCGGCGGTTGGCCGGAATAGGTGGTGGGAGGCCGGAAGTGGAGAGGGAAAAAAATGAGAAAAAGAGAGAAGAATATGCAGATTCAAAGAGAGTGAGAGATTAAGAGGAAGAAAGAGGGAGAGAGGGAGAGAGAGAGAGATTAAGAGGAAGAAGAGGGAGAGAGAGAGAGAGGCCTGCTGCTGCTGCTTGAAGTCGAAGATGAAGGTGTTAGGGGAAGGGGGAAAGAAAATCGTGGATTAGGAAAAAGAAAGTAAAAGTGGAAAAAAATTAAATTAATAAGAAATAAAATATTTAATGAGTATAATAAATGAAAAGAAAAAATGGGTTTAATACGTAAAAAGCATTAAAACACAGAAAAATAGTATTTTTTAAGTATTAAAATTAATAAAACTAATAAAATAATTAAAAATTAAAAAACCCGGGTTGACCCCGGTTGAACCGGTCCAACCGTGACCCAAATGCCTAGCCGGTTTTGTGTCCGGTTCGGTTCTGATAACATTGGTGTTACTTCTCTCCTACCGTGTTTGTTGTTACCTCAGTTATTTTGCAGAAGATTCACATGGTGTACTAGATTGCAATCCAAGAAATAGAGTTATACCATATGTTTTAAATAATTTCACTTAATCTTAATATCGTGTTTTGCGCGCTTCATGTTATCTTATTTGTAATATTTAACTTAATTCCATATGTTACAACACGAAATTAAGAGATGAAGTTTATGTTTTATATTTCCTTCCATTTTATTTTACTTGAACTGGTATTGTTTTAAAGAGATAGTCGTTTACATAAGTTTAATTTTCTCATTTTAAAACTGACCTCCGTGCAACGCACGGGTGAAATACTAGTATATACAAAAAGTAATATTACTTGCACCAAAAGACGAAATCTCTCGTCCCGCAGGGATCCCCATCCCTTGACCCGACAAATATTTGGTGGAAGAAGTAAAATGACTGTGTATAGCTAGGCATGTTCACGGTTGCAGGTTGAACCGTACCCTAACCATAACCGATTCATGTTCAAGAGCTTGTTAATCTAGTCAAATCGGTCGGCTGAACCATGTAACCCATCGGTTTCTCAATCATTTTTCTATAATAATAATAATAATAATAATAATAATAATAATAATAATAATAATAATAATAATAGACAAAGTGATTTTTGAGTTCGACTTCAACAACCAATCGTATAGGTACACTGGGTAAATCTAAACTCTTGCATAATAGCTTGTAAACCATAGAAAAAACACGTAAACCACAATAGACTAACATATGTGTGACAAGCTCGACCTACCGACCGTTGCATACTTCACCTTTAATAGGTCGTAAATCACCTTTAATAGCTCGTTACGACGGGGAAGGTGAATAATAAATCTCATACTGAAAAGAACATTCGTATTTAAACATTAAACATTTTTTGTATTTTGTTTGAATTTTATTTTATAGAAATAAAAAATGAATTTCTCTAATGATGGGCCGATTTTCTGCCTCAGTACGGAAAATATTATCTGGGCCTTTTCAAATGATCCACACGATGTAAGAACACACACACACACACTTCACTGAAATTTCCGCTCCACACATATATAGATACAAGTGTGTGTATATCTGCTGTCTCACTCATCTCTGAAATCACCGCTCACTGTGTGTGTATCTGATTTTTCTCTGTTTGATTCATGGCTACTCAAGGTCAAGTCATTACTTGCAAAGGTACACTCCACTAATTTATTTTCTCTGCATTTATGATTTGAATTGAATAGTAGTCTGTAATTTCCTTTTGTTTTGGGGGTTTTTTAGCGGCGGTGGCCTGGGAACCCAATAAGCCACTGGTGATTGAGGAGGTGCAGGTGGCGCCGCCGCAATTCGGAGAAGTGAGGGTGAAGATTCTCTACACCGCTCTCTGCCACACCGACGCCTACACCTGGAGCGGCAAGGTACTCCCGATTTTTAAAGGAAATTTCCACCATTTTTTTTCTAGATCTGTTAATTTGGAGAATCTGGAGTTTTTAGGTTTTTTTTTTTTTGATCTTTAATCCAGATTATGTTTCTGTAACTTTTAATCATGAGGAATTGGGGATTGTTCAACCTTGACAATATTAAAATATTATTTGAACTGAACATTTTTATTAATTGATCCTTGAAGCAGGGATTAGAATGTGTTTGATAGAATGTTTTTAATATTGAATGCATTTCAGAATGAGTCACCATAGGCAGACTGGTTTGAGTTGACCTCAACCAACTTGTGAGATTCTGTTGAGTTGACTTCAAGCAACTTGTGAGACTAATTTATTATTGCCTTCTGTTTTTTTTTTTAATCTGAATTGCCTATCTATCTTTGATTCTTGTAACTATTAATTAATGGAATGAAATAAATAAGTTCGAAAAAAAGGAGACAGAAAATAAATAAATTTAATGCTTCCGTTGTGTAAGGCATTGCACAGTTTTCTAATCGATAGTTTATCTTCCTTGAAGGATCCCGAAGGTCTCTTCCCATGCATCCTCGGTCACGAAGCTGCAGGGTACGTTGCCCTTTACATTGAAAAGAATATACATACTTTTGTTTTACTGTTTATATTGGAAGGAAACGAATACGCACTCGCATTTGAATTTATCAAGTCATCGTGTTTTTTTTTTATGTATTGGAATCACAGAATAGTCGAGAGCGTTGGAGAAGGTGTGACCGAAGTTCAACCAGGGGACCATGTGATCCCTTGCTACCAAGCAGAATGCAAGGAATGCAAGTTCTGCAAATCTGGAAAGACTAATCTCTGTGGGAAAGTAAGGTTAGCTACTGGAGTTGGAGTGATGTTGACCGATCGACAGAGCCGTTTTTCGATCAATGGAAAACCCATCTATCATTTCATGGGGACTTCGACGTTCAGTCAGTACACTGTTGTACACGATGTCAGTGTTGCAAAGATTGATCCTATAGCACCTTTGGACAAAGTTTGTCTCCTAGGTTGTGGCGTTCCGACAGGTAAACAGATTTCGAATACTTTGATTTACTTGGAATTAGTTTTTGCAGTTGTTAATTAGCATTTCTTGTTACTTGGATGCATACTGATATTTCTTATCCGTTGCTCTTACTGTGGCCTTTTCATCTTTAGATAGGTTTTGCTTATGCATAATGCAGTTAGCTGATTCTTGTAATGCCTACGGTTTTTGGACAAATTGTGGGAGTGCTTATGTGAAATCTTTCCTATCTTGCTATGTTCATGGTCATTATGTGCTTGTCTTGAAGTATTTAATGGTAACTATGTTACGAATCCCTTCTCTGGTTGTGCATTAAAAACAATAGAACACATGGCGTGATGTTTCAACTTTGTTGAACCCGTTCTGGAGTAGAACTGTTTTTTTTTCTGATTTTCAAGTTTTTGTCAAATAATACTGGCATGCATGTTTAATAAATATAGTTTCCATTTGAACAATACAAGTTTAGGACTTGCATGTACTCTAAATCAAACACTCTTGTTGAAGAGGTTTTAGTTTTTGTCAGTCGGACTCCTCTTTGTGGATATAATTCTGGAATCCGTAAACTACGGCTTCTGTAGTTTCTCTGTCAGTCAAGTGTAGATCTGGGTGAAATTCTGCAAAATGATTCTTTCCGATTTATATGACAAATAGCGACCCAGAACTTTTTATTGTTTACTTTTTGAGAGCTTACATTAGTATTATTTTTTGTGAAACTTCTATTGTTCTAATCTGTTTTACTTTCATACCTCACAATTTAATTCATAACAGGTCTTGGAGCCGTTTGGAATACTGCAAAAGTAGAATCAGGTTCCATTGTTGCTATTTTTGGCCTAGGCACTGTTGGACTTGCTGTAAGTATTTTGTAGGATTCTATTTGTAATGCTTCGCAAAAAAATAAAAATAAAAAATAATAAAAAATATATGTAATGCTTGTTCTGATAGCACAACAAATATTGATTATTGCTTTTGATTCAGGTGGCAGAGGGTGCAAAAGCTGCTGGCGCTTCGCGGATAATTGGGATAGATATTGACACCAAAAAGTTCGATACAGGTATTTACCTATTCTTTTATCGGAAACATAGCGTAAATGTGAAATATGATACTTAGAAAACACATTCGCCCGAGCAAAAAGCAGAAAGATTTGTTAATTACTAGAAAAAACAGATAATTCCAATCTGCAATACATGCATATTAAATTCTAAAAATTTACATGCTAAACTTGTAACCAACAGAGAATAATAATTATTTATTTCATTATTTTGGTGCAAAAATCGCGACGCACACACAGCAAAGAACTTTGGTGTGACTGAATTCATCAACCCAAAAGACCACGAGAAACCGATCCAGCAAGTCATTGTGGATTTAACCGACGGTGGAGTTGATTACAGTTTCGAGTGCATTGGTAATGTCTCTGTAATGAGGGCTGCTTTAGAGTGCTGCCATAAGGTAATTAACTTAAATCAGTTATTTTTATTTATTTTCCCGTTTTCTTGAATATTCATGTCATTAATTAAGGGCAGTGAAAAGTGAGATGCTGAATCTTGATAAACAAACTTGTAGGGATGGGGAACATCCGTTATTGTGGGTGTCGCTGCATCGGGTCAAGAAATCTCGACCCGCCCGTTTCAGCTGGTAACGGGTCGGGTCTGGAAGGGTACCGCATTTGGCGGGTTCAAGAGCCGCTCCCAAGTACCTTGGCTTGTGGAGAAGTATCTGAAGAAAGTGAGTGACTCTTCTTCTTCTGCGTGTAAAATTTAAGGCTCTCGTTTTTTTATTTTTTTTTCGAACTGAAACACGATTTATTATTCTCGTTACAGGAAATCAAAGTTGACGAGTACATCACCCATAACATGACTCTTCCAGACATAAACAAAGCGTTTGATCTGATGCATGATGGTGTCTGCCTGAGGGTTGTGCTTAGCATGCATTAATTATAACTTATTACATTTGCTGTGACACAGTTTGTGTACTCTTTTGCCAGATCAAACGTGTGATCCTTTTTTTAATCTCTTCGTTTGGTAATAAGACAAGTAACTTCTTTTCTTATCCGTAATGGTTCATGAATTGTTTATTTCCAGTTTTTTGCAAAAAGAAAAAGAAAAAAATGGAATTATAGTAATTGAAGAAAAAATAGGGTGGCACGAGGGTTATAATGTGCTACACTGGGTGAAATATACCTATTAGATCTTTACTATTTATATATATACAAACAGACACTTCCTACATTTAGAGCTGTTAATCAGGTCATGTGAGCTGAGTTTGGGTAGACTGAAACTTCACATATCATCGGACTACATTACTATAGGTTCCAAACTCATATACTATCGGATCTCATTATTATATGCTCAAGCTCGGCTCATGTATTTTTTTCGGAATATGCCGCTGTATAGTTTTACTCCATATACCTTACCGTATCATTTATAGTATTGTAAGACATGTGATTTAACTATTAAAAACAGTACAAAATATATATCGCATAATAATAATAATACGATAAAAATGTAAAAAATAATATTTTAAAGTTAAGCAATTCATTCAAAAGAGATCTAAATTCAAGTTTCAACATTAAATTATTGACGTGGACAAAAGTCATAGTTTTTAGAAATGTTAGTGTCGGTTTTATTACACTTGTTAATATAAATTGCTTTTATCTGAAGTATTTTTGTGGTTTTGCCTTAATTAAAAAAAAAATACAATTGTTCCAAACAAAATGTGCTGAAAATTGCACAAGTCACCCTAAAAACAAACATCGTAATTATCGTATCGTATCGGATATTAACTACATCAGTTTATATTGTGCTACTTCGGGTGAAATATACCGATTAGATATTTACTATTCATATAAATACAAAAACACCACCCACCCACATTGTTGTGTGTAAATTAACGATATATATTAACCTAATATAACATTCACCTGGTGTAGCATAGAAATAATCAATGAGAGGAGGAGGGATGGTTCACCAACCTGCCTACTCTAGGGTACATGGGAATGGAATACCACTCCTTGTGTCGCTAAATAGCTGAAATTAAATATATTATAATATTTTCGAAGTCTTTTGTTTTTTTTTTTTTTTGGATTGATTTAATTTTCGACTTTCTTAAAGTACTTGGCTTGGAACAGAAATATAAATAAAATTCTGATTTTAGGTTCTTTAATAAAAAAAAAATCATTATTTTCCTTCGTAAAATTGTACATATAATTTTGTAGGCAAGTAAAAAATAATAAGTTTTGAATTCTAATGGTTTCAAATTCTTTTTCCACTTCAAAAAATATTGATTTTTGTTCGGATAGTTATAACTATCCATCCATTCTATTTCTACTCATAAACAAAACACAAATATACTGTATTAAGTTAAAAAAATAAAATAAAAGTTAAAGTGCATTAATAAAAAAATAATAATAAAAACAAAAATAAAAACTTTTGTACTCGTTTCCTGATGAGGAATTCCACAGCAAAATATAAATGTCAATAAATAAACAAAGTAAAGAAGAAAAAAAAAGGACTATTCTCGAATTATAGATGAGGTGTTGCATGTGCATATTTCGTAGGATTTCCGTGAAAATAGGTCGTGCTTCCACTTCAATTTCAATCTGCAATTTTCTAGATGTATCTTGCACCGTTTTATTTATGGGTAAATTACTACGACGACCCCCTGAACTAAGACTGAATTACGAAAAACCCTATTGTTTGTATAATTACCCCACTCATGCATATTCTGACCCGTCTTACAAAAAACCCTTGCATAATTAATACTAATAGAATCTTTAAGATTCCATAAAATATTATTTCAAATTTCCAATTTTACCCTTGTCCATGTGTTCTATTAAAATGCTATATTTTTACGATCAAAATATCGTAAAGGGGTACATGTAATATATTTTGTTTATGAAGGGCTTTAATTTTTTTTTAATTAAAGGATAATTCAGACAATTTATGTGTTTTGTTAAGTTTCTTGAACCACCACTAATTTAAGGGATGTGGCTGTAATTATTCAAATTTGGAGGATTTTTTTGTAATTATAGCTTTCCATAGGGAGTCCTTGTAATTTACCCTTCTATATTTATTGTTATAAGGGTTGTATGCACATATTAAAAACTCGGTAAATAGCCTTTATTTTGATGAAAATGAAAAATAATTCTTCTACAATCAATGATTAAGGGTTTATTATATTGATAAAAATTAAAAACAAATGATTTATGAATTGCTGAAGTGTTTATAAATTGTGAATAAATAAAGATATCATATGAACATTAATCTTGTCATTTTAGTTATTGAGAAAAAAAAAACAATTATGATATTTAACGAGCATTGATTTATGATACACACACATGTAGCTAATTAAGATTTTTTGCCATCTTCATTTATGGTTTATGAATATTAGATGATCAATTATTATGACTTACAAACGATTAGTCCTCGTCAGGGCATGTTTGACTAAACTTATTTTAAACATCGAATAAATTCGTACTAATTATTTTAAGGGTTGATAAGTTGATACATTTTATTTTTAGAATTATTTTTTAAAATGTTTGGAGAATGAGTTTCTTTGTTTACTAAATCTTATTTAGAAAAAAAAATCTTATTTGCTACAGAACAATTTTTTTTTAATAAAATTAAGATTTTTTTTTTGAAAAATTACGAAACACGTTGAAGAACTTATAAGCTTTTAAACATCTTATAAGCTTAGCCAAACACCCTTTAAGGAAAACAAAATTCTAAATGTCAAACATATGAGAAGTAACTAAAAATTATTTTCGTTTTCGATCAAATATTTTCGTATTTCTTTTTTTCTATATTAAATACCACATTTGATGAAATTGGTTAGACATTTATTTTTAAATACAAGCGCATATGTGTAAATTACGTACGAAATGGTAGGATATAATTCTATTAAATTACGGCAAAAAACCATTTATTTATTTATTTTTACCTTTTTCTTCATGAATCCCATGCTATTTATACATGCTTAATTAAGAAAATATTCCTTTTTCTTTTCCTTTTTTTTCTGGAAATAAATATATCTTTTTTTTTCTTTTCATAGTAAACATTAATTTGCAGATACATACAACACCTCTGTGCGCGCATGCCTTTGTTTTTGTTGCACCGCCATCTCTCTCTCTCTAACAAACGCATACAGAAATGCAATAATTTACGCACACCGCCATTGATGCAGGAGAACCGAATCCTGTTGTTAAGAGGGAAAATTAACCACGATCGCAACCCTCCAAAGGTATAATTGCGTATCCGATTATTTCTGGTTTTGTCGTATTTATTATGGAGAGCTTTAATCAATGTCCAATGGCGTAAACTTTTTATCGGCGCACATTAGTCAACAAACTTAGGCAGAATTGGTTTCCAGTTCCTTTCCATGAACAAATTTTACAAAATAATCAAACAAAAAAAAAAAAAATGAAATATATTACCTGTAAATTTGGTATTTTTTGATTTAAATGCACCTCTGGTGCAAAAATTCCAGGAAGAGATAGTGTATTGTTTAGGTTTATGGTGAATGTTTCTGTGACATGGTTATAAATGTTGATGTGATCATACTTTTGTATTTGTGTTAATTTGATTTTTTTTTTTTGTTGCAGGGGAATCAATCTCCATACAGGGTAAAGGGCCAACAGTTGTTAGGCTGAACTCTGTTAAACACAATTTGGGGGGGTTTCATCATGAATCTGAAATATAGGCTGCGGATTAGTTTGTAAGTGGAGTTGGAGAATGAATCTATAGTGATGGTTAGGTGATGGAGATGGGGACGAAAGAAAATGGTTATGTTCAAGAAGATTGGTCAACACCGGCATCTCCAATTGAGGTGTTGCAGCAAATATCCCACGAGGCGGTTAGAATGGCCGGTGAGGCGTGGAATAATGCCTATCCGGGGAGTCCAAACACTCCAATATTATATCCACCTCCGGTGCATAGGCGTACACGTAGTGAAGTAGTCTCTTCGTTTCATAGGCGTAGCAATAGCACTAGCACTAGCGGTTTCGTTAAATGGAAGTGTCAGATGAAAAGGGCTTTGCACTGGGGCGGTGGTCGTAGTTTTTGTGAAGATCACTACTATTCTTCTTTCGATCCCGAGATTCTTGCAAATCAGAAAAGGCAGTGGTATCAGCTTAACTCGAGAACATCGGTACACTACCTTTTTCACCGGCAGAAATTTTTATCGTCTTTTATATTTTGTGAAACATATGCTTTTTGCTTACTTTTACATATTTGACGAACTAAAAACCTAACAATTATGTTATATGGAAGTGATTCACGTGGTGCGGATGCATTTTTCGTATTTCCCTCTGATTATATTGATATCTAACTAACACAGTGTATGGTGAAAATGGTGTTGGCTGAGTAAATTACCATGGCGTCATTCTATTTATTGTTGCTATTGTCTGTCACGAGTCGTGTTTTTCCCTTCATGTCGGGGTGTCAATTACATCCAGTCATTCTTTGTTTGTTTCCCCCCTATCAGTTATGGGATTTACTATATTGTCGTTTTATATAACTCATTTATAGCTACCGACCCTGTTAATGCTCCTGTTACCATATAATTTGGACTCATTTTCAGATAGAGATCAAGAATATCTTTCTATACATATTAGTAAGTGTAGTAGCTACATGCCGACATACCTCTTTGATAAAACCTTTTATACATTTTGGATTTTTTTTAAAGCCTATCCCCGAATTATAGAGTCCGAATCCCCTGTTCACTACCACTACTTAACCATTAAAGTTTTCACCATGATGGCTTTCCATTTTCCTCCTATGTTTATAGACAATGCGATCGTGTTTGCCTGGTTTATTTTTTTGTAGCCTCGAGTTTCATTTTACTTTATGACTGAGCGGTAATCGCTTTAGCTAAATCAGATGAGTATGAATGTAGGGCCCTGAAAAATATAAAGAGCCAACCTCACTTTTTGAACACTTTGTTATTGCGGGGCTCAGTCCAGATGCCAAGCTTCAGGCTGTTGAGGATGCATATATCAGCAAGAAGAAATGGGCTCAAGAAATGGAAAGAAACGAAATGTCAGGTTTCCACATGCGACAATACCGGCAGCCTGCAGCTCCACCATTGGAGTCTCAGGTTCAAGTTCTTAAATTTTGCTTGTTCACAGTTACTTATGGTGCTCTAGTCTAAATTGATTTTGTTATCCCGCACATTGATAATTTACCCAGAGAGTATTTAAATGATGTTTTTGCAAATGATGCCGATATATACAGTTCCCGAAATATAGATTATATCTGATTTTTACTTCAGAATTTCATGCCGATATCACCTGTTCAAATGAAGCGTGTTACTTATCCATTTTGAAATGATTGCACTCATGTAGAGGGAACTCTATGTAGAATTTCCAAGCTTAGGTTTTGATCTTATACAATAGGTGCTCTTTATGTATCCTCCTGGAAGGAAGTTGGCTTTGCGTTTAAAGGATGTTGCTGCATTTTGCTTTCCTGGAGGTGTTAAGGTTAGTAATATTTCAAATTCATTTCCCACCTAGTATCTTAAAAGTGAATATGACGAGATACCTTCTATGACTTCTTTATTTATGTCTATCTGAAGATTGTTCACTGTTTTCAACTCAGGCACGCATGTTGGAGAGGACACCGTCACTAAGTGATTTAAACGAACTTGTTTATGGACAGGTATCAAGAAACCTTGTACATCCATTTGCACCCCCGATACAATTTATATAAGAATTTGGATATTTTCTTGCAATTGCATTTCTATTAATTGGAACAAATAGATATTAACCAAAAACATCTGACTCTTCTGAAAGGGAGAGAAAGAATGAATGAAAAACCAGCTTACTTCTCTTTTTCCTCTCATTTTCCTGTGACAACACGTAACTGTTTGTTGAAATTGTCTTCAGGAACATTTACGCAAGGATGATTTATCATTTATATTTTCACTTAAGGTAAGTCAAAATCAATTCGCTGCCTAAGGACAAATTTTTTGCTGCATTCATATACTGGGATGGATAGGTAATTTTATCTCAATTATAAATTTATAGGTAAAAACACCTAAACCAAAGAAGGAAAAAGAATTAAACAACATCAAACTAGTAAGCTGTATCCTCAAACATTGCTAATTGGCTACGCAATAACTAGGTAAATACTTGAAGATGTTGTTGATTAAGAGGTCAGAATAAAGTGTATGAAATAAATTGCTTCATTTGTTATTGCAACAGTATGCCTCATTTATGAGCAATATTATTCTTTGGATTGAAAGGGGCGTAACATTTGGAATCTGAAATAGCTCTCATAATAGTACGGGGTGGAATAAAGTCCTATATTTTCTCGTTTCCACGCTTACGTAGACATTTAAGAACTGGAGATAACCGTAGAACAAAAAGTGTTTAGCCAGTCAGTTGCATTAACGTTCTTAATTTAGAGTATATTTCAATAACAATATGGTTCCATTGTGATGATATTTGAAATTACCATTATTACGAGAAGCCCCACAATTGTTGAAATAAACACATACATAACTTCTTAAAAAGTAAGGTGTCCTCTTTAGGTTTCTTTGAATGCATGTAGTGGCGTACTTATTAACCTGAATTATTTTTTTGTTTATCAAGATATTCTTTGTGCCCAACGACAGGTGGCAGACAATGCAACACTTTATGGTGTTTGCTTGCATGTACAAGAGGTTGTTCAGAGACCGCCTGGCATTTATGGGCCGTCACCGCCTCTTTCCCGATCAAATTTTGGCTGCAATGGGTTTCTGGTATCTGCTCCTCGTTGTTATTGTATCTTGACAAGAGTGCCTTTCTTTGAGTTACATTATGAGATGTTGAATAGGTCAGTATTAATTCTATTAGAATTTTAGTTCCTTTTTAGACATATGATCGGATTTTTCGGTAATGGACTCTAACTTCCATTTACTTGTATGCAGCATCGTCGCGCAGGACCGTCTGAATCGTATTACTAAGTTTGTTACCGAAATGGCTCTTAGTGATAGTGTCCCTTCACTATCTATGTCGAAAAATGAAAACATCGACTCTCCTGATGCAGAAAGTGCCGTAGACTCAGACTGGATGGCTTCAGAAATCACTGTTGACAGTGAAATGACTCTCACATCTGCTGCTGTAGCAGCAGGTATTATATCAGACGAGGATGTATCATCGAGGGAGGACCATTCGTCTGGTAGTGCTAGTGCCAGTGACACGTCTGATCACAGTCAATCGAAGGAATTAGATAAAGATAGTAGCAAAAAGGTGCATGCTTTTGATGATTGTGCATCCGAGACCTCGGAAAACCAATCAAATGGTGCACGTACTCCAGATGATATCTGCCCCAGTAGCCAATCATTGGACTGCCTTCGAAGTTTCGAGTCCTTATTTAGGTGACGTTATTATTAGTTTTGTTTGAAAATGGTTTTTTTTCTTCTTACAGTTGTAATCAGCTAAGTTGAGTCTATATGTACTCTTTTATGAATGTATAACTTTGTTTTGGCAGTCCAGCTAGAAGTATGGCATCAGAGGAAGATGATGAAATCTTTTGTAACCATGATGAAGACCCCAAGGATGACATGATAATGGAATGGGCAAGAGTGAGTTTTATTATAATACCTTAAGACATATTTTAAGCTAACTTTTGTTCTCTACAAAAAAAAAAGGCTAGCTTTTGTGGTATTTGAACTGACACTTCCCTGTACGTTTTAGGAAAACAAGAATGATTTGCTACAGATAATATGTGGCTATCATTCTATTCGTCTTCCAGCAAGGGGAGGTCAAATTATTTTTCAGCCATTAGAGCATCTGCAGGTCATTGAATATCGACGGCCGCCTATTTCTGCCCTTGGACTGTACGACAAATATCTTGATCGTAAACTGAAAGATTCTAAGGAAGCCTCTCAGGTTAGTCTGGTTGGATATCATTCAGTAGTCTTTGGAATGCTTTACCTGTAAAAGAAGGAACTCAATTACACTAATATCGTCCTGTTTTTGAAGGTCGAGTTAAAATTATCTACTGCTGAGGAAGCTGCTTCACTCTCTCTATGGTCAACAGCAACAATATGTCGAGTTCTTTCTCTTGAAAGCGTAAAAACGTTTTGAACTTTCAATTCTTAGTTTCACTTTTGATTATGTTAATGTTGCCTCCACTTCGTTTAGAATTAACTTCTTGTTCCTTTCTGAAATATAATATTTTTCAACTTTTGATTCCTAATAACATCACTTTAAGAGCGTGATTAATTTTCTTTTTTCAGGTTCTAGCCTTGATCACTGGTGTATTATTGGAAAAACAAGTGGTTGTGCTGTGCCCCAATTTGGTAATTTGGTCCCTGACCAGGATTTGTTATTGTTTCTCACTCTTTCTGGAGTTAATAATTACTCTCATCTGTACAAACAGGGTATCCTATCTGCTGTGGTGTTGTCTCTGATTCCTATTATTCGTCCATTTGAATGGCAGAGTTTATTTCTTCCAGTAAGTCTTGCAATATTTTTTTCTTACTGCCTCCAGTTCCAGTCGTGATTTTGAAACGTACGCAACATCAGAAACTTGTGAACTTGTGAAAAATTGTTGATATTTGGTTTTTCCTCGTATCTTTTTCCTCTGCGAAAATGCAGACACCATTTAATTTGTAATTTCTCCCTCATTTTTATGTCATCAATATTTTCCTTTTCTTGATGTATCGAATTTGATAGTTTTTTGAGGTTAAATGAGTTACTCACCTACGTTAAATGAGTTACTCACCTACGTGTTCCAATGCTCATTTATCTCATATTCTGCTCTTCTGTCTTTAGTTCTTTGTGTTAAGGCTATTCCATTAAGTTATTTGCGTTGCGCTGCAGATTCTGCCAGGGACGATGCTAGATTTTCTGGACGCTCCTGTTCCTTTCATTGTGAGTTTGTATTAACTTCAATTTTCTTGTGTAATACCTGAATGTACTTCTTCTGTTGTGTCTAATGATATCTCCAATACGGTTTCGTTTATTTCTGCTCTTGAACACTTTTCACGTAGTTAAATGGCATTGAGCTAACATGTGTGAATTCGGTAGTTTGGATAGAAAAATTCGTTTGCATACTCTAATGGACTTCTTTTTTCTAACCTCGAGAAGGAAAAATTAAATGTTATACCGTAGTATTCTTAATCGGCGTGATTTCGACGCAGGTTGGAATACAACATAAACAAGCTGATTTGAAGATGAAAACTTCCAATCTGGTTCTAGTTAATTTACTCAAAGACCAGGTTTGTCCACTTTTGTTTTCGTAAGCTATAATCATTAAAGCACGTATAATTACGCTGGAAGTTTGCGTATGCAATATTCTTTTTTATTGTAAAAAAAATTGTGTAGGTGAAAAGTTGTAGTCTACCGGTACTTCCTCAACGTAAAGAGCTTATTTCGGAACTTAGACCGATCCACTCCAAACTGTCATGTGAAGACAATATTCCTCAGAGACACCCCGTATATAAATGCAATGAAATGCAGGTACGTACAGGTCAAGCGGCCCCTTCATCCTTCATGATAATACGAGCATCTAAAAAATTCTTCGGTACTTAAATGAGGTTTTTATGTTGTTTTAGTACTGAAATTGTGAATTATTTTGATGTATTTTCATTTCTGGTTGACTGGTTGTTAGTTTAATCAACAATTGTGCGACACGAATTCAATCCACATTTACTCTTACGATTTCCTTTGCGTTTCATCTGTTTTCTTCTCCTGTCAACGTATTATAGATGTCACAAAACTTGCAGGTTGAAGCTGCTTCCAAATTTTTAATTGTCATGAGGCGGTACATGGAGTCGCTTTGTTCCGATTTGAGATTGCACACAATTACTAGCGTACAATCCAACGATGACAAGGTTTTTTTTTCTCTTCTTTTTTCCTAACTTTTATTTCAATATCTAATACTTTCGTAAGTATAGTCAGATCTGTAAAAACTGCTGAAACAAGTAACTGTTAACCTTTTCAGGTCTCGATACTTCTTAAGGATAGCTTCATCGATTCCTTCCCTGTAAAAAGTCAGTCTTTTATTAAGGTATACACGCCGTACTATGTTCCTTATTTTTCTTTCTATGTCGTATGTCACCTATTCCGAATTTAGGTTAAAAGTCGAACAAAAACTCGATAAAATATTTCGGTTTTCTTTTCGCAGTTATTTGTAGAAACACAGTTATTCAGCGTTCTGTCAGACTCCCGTCTGTCAACCTACGAGAACGAATAGTTTCAGCATACACCAGAAAGAAACCTTGATTGTATATTGGTGTCCAAATTTTGAGCTTCAATTCGACGATAATGTAACTACTAAACGTGTAGATTAATAAACGACAACCGATCAATTTCGATTGTTAGTTGTTTACTATGTCAAGGGGAAAGGCAATCTGTTGTTGTTTAAATATTTTAATATATATATTTTTCTTTCTTTCTTATGTATGTAACACCAAGTACAAAGATTGAATAATTGATGTCCCTCCCAAAATTCTGGACTGGTATTATTTTCATTATATAATCCATAATTTGCACATGTTTCTTATGTGTCGGCATATATATATATATATATATATATATATATATATATATATATTAATTGACCTCCAGGTTTACAATTAATGCTTCAGAAAAATACAAGTCCTCTTCGTTTTATTCATTTATGAATGTCAGTGTATTGTGCAATTGGTTTTGACTTTTGATGGTAGACTCTATGTCGTCTAATATATCCAAATTTTAGCAATTTTTTGGTAGGGGCCAATTATTACGTCAATGTTTAGAAGCGTTTTAGAACTTATTTTGATTTCATTTTGAGGAAATATGTTTTGGGGGAAGAATTTGAGAACGAAAATAATGTTTGTTTATATTATTGAAGGAGACAAAATACACTGTAGCTGTCACATCATGTTTAAAGGTGTTAGAAAAAAATATTTTGGAAGAAGAAAATTGAAAGATGAAGTGACATTTCTTTGTTTTTTAGTGAAGACATTTTTTACAAATCATTTTACTGTAGCAGTCACATCATGTCTGAATGAGAGAGAAACTTTTCAGATTGGTTTGAGAAAATTATTTGAGAAGTGTAATAAATATAATTTTGTTTTGGGGAATCAACGAAAACAAAATGAAAACAATATCAAACATTGGCTATATATTCAACACATTAGTACAAATTTATAATATATTATTCGTGGAAGTTCTGATCAATATTATCAGATTGGAAAATACTGGGTATCGTTTATTGTATCGTATCTTAAGAGGATACTCGACTAACTATTAAGAACAATACAAAAATACATACCTATGTAATAAAAATACAATAAATATTTAGAATTTAACATTTTAAAATAAAAAAAAACACTTGTTCAAAAGAAGATATCTAAATTAAAGTGTCAAATTTAAATCATTAAATTAAATATGATAAAAATCATAGTTGTTAGAAATACCGGTGCCATTTTAGTACCTTTACTCCTTTACCTATATAAATTGCTCTTTGGTTTATTTAATGTTGAACAAACTTATTGATTTTGATTGGGAACACAATTGAATTTATCAGAGGTAATTTATTTTGGTTTTGCCTAAATATATATCTTATATGCAAAATAAAAACATTAACACAATTGTTATATAAAAAAATGTGCTGAAAATCAAACAAATCACCCAAAATAAGCTGAAAATAGCAAAAATCAACCTAAAAAAAATATCGTAAATATCGTTTTGTCGATGTCTATCGATATTTAAGAACAATCGATACATATTCGTGCCAGTGTTGTCGATTTTTAATTTTTTTTTAATTTTTTTTATTTATTACTCCAACATATTTAAATAATTGTAGGGTTTTGCCATCATTACATTTGGACCTCGGTGCAGAATGAGTGCAAAAAGATTAATGTGGACAAATCATAAGCTTTGTAAGTACTATATCCATTCATTCATTTCAATCGGCACTTATAAAGCTAGATAGATACATATGTATTTAAATATGTATCAAAAGGCCGTACGCTTATTGGTAGTATTTGACATCGACATACTTGCATCCTTTTAAATGTGACACAATTGGTTCTCAATTTAATTAAAATGTCCAACTATTTATCAAAAAATACCTAAATAAATGTCCAACTTGTGGTGTGACCGTCCATATTACGCCTTGGTCAATTTCGGTGGTCAATGTGTTACTTTTCTTTATACATTATACTCCCTCCATGCTAAAATATGTGTCGCTTTGGGTTGTTGCGCACATATTAAGAAAACTAATAAGTGTGAGTTGATTTTAGAGAAAAATATATAGAATGACTAAAATATTCATGTTATTACTGTTTTTTCATTAATTCTGAGTCAATTAATGAATAGTAATAAGGGTAAAATCGATAAAATAGTAATTAATGCATTATTGAAATTCTAAAGTGACAGATAATTTGAAACAAAAAAAATTCCTCAAAGAAAAAATATCATTAGTCTATGCAATGTTGTGGAATTGTATATTATTTACAACACTCCCTCTTGGGGATTCCTATTAAACTACTATTGAGTTTTGCCTCGTTCAAATCTTCGAGTAACAAAAATCAGTGAAGAAAAACAACAACCTCGGTTAGGAAATAAAGTACAACGTACAATCTTTTGAATTAACACATGTTGCCTCATGAAAACCTTGGCAAGTAACAAAATTTATGTAGGAAAAATAAACATCGTACGAAAAAAAAAGTACCACATGACACTCTAGTATCTTTTGGATACGGAGTACCGACAATGTACCACCCTCATGTTAACTCTCTTTAATGTCTACGAGGAAGTGAACTCGTATAATCCACACAAATCAATAGCCTTAAAGTGATTTTAGGCCAAGACTTAGTAAATAAGTCAGTCAGCATACTTGTCCTAACTCATGATCTGCTGGACCATTCTTGTTTGATTACTTATTGTTGTTGATTGAAGAAAACCTCATAATTATTTTTGTGGGATTGTCACATTTAATGAATCCCGTCTTCATTTGCTCAATTCATGATGCATTACGATCAAATACAATTTCGTAGGATCTTATTTGTTAGTCAATTCGTAGGAATCTCGAACATGCCTAGTCATGACTGCAATCTGTGTGCATTAACACACTACCTCGTGAAGCAATTTTTTTTACATGATCCCACCAAGTGACAACTAATGTACATTTCACACACCTCCAGAATATAACTATATTTCAAATAGAAAATAATAGATTTTGAATTAGCTTTCTGTGGGTATGACTTATCGTCTATGTCAGTATAATCCACAAGTTTTGCATCATTTAGTGGTGCATACAACGTATCGGTGATGTGATATATGTCTACATAAAGAGTTTACTAAAAATATTAAATCATATCGAGTACATAGAGTTAAATACAGTAATGCACATATTGCACTTAGATATGGCTCGTGCTCCTCCTATATATGGTAAAATGAATCCTTCGACATATTAACTTAATGCGCTTTCCAAAGAACTGCCCCGCATGAGAGTGGAACTTACCTTAAGATTCCATCCAACTAGATGGGCGAAAGAAGGGGGAAAGGCTCAAGGCTGGAACTAGATCTCAAATCCGAAGGAAACATGCTAACTTTAAGACTTGCAGGCACGAACCAACGATCATATCAGGCCGACATCATATCTCATTCACTAATTGAGATTAAATGGACAAATTTGATGCCGGTGCAACATTTTAACAAGTTGAGGTATACACGTGCAACTCTTTTTCGTTTAGGGATAAAGTGCAAAAACTTTCTACTGTTCAAACGTCAATATTTTTAACCCATGTCTTTTACACGTTTTTTCTTCTTTTCTAAAAGTAAAATAGTTGCGATGCTTTAAAAGGATTTGTGTAAAAAAAAAAATGCATGCAAAGCAAGCATTTCAATGAAAGTTGGTAAAGTATTGACTCATGATTTCCACTCACAAATGTCAAATGGTTTGATGACTGCATCACTTTTTTCATTTTTGAATATTGTGCATTATTATTACAGCTATGGTTGCCTGGAAAGTACATTTACACATGCACCTATTAATATTATTATTATTATTATTATTAATAGGATTATGTGTTGGATTACATATTCATTTTTCATCATCTTTGACCTTTTATGGAACTATTGATACAGTATACGTCACCCATTTTTTTAAAACATTTTTTTATTTGTTATTTATGTATGAATTAATGAACTTTCGCCCACAAACTTTCAATTATATACATTTTTAGTCCATAATTTTTTTCTCTCTTAAATCACCCATATATTCTAACCCCCCAAAAAAAAACGTGCGTTCGCCCCTCGTCAGTACGAGTGCGTTATTTATGATAATGTAGCATGAAATTATGATGATATTTATGATTTAGAATTACATTGTGCTGTGTAATATTTGACATAACTTAATTTTATTATATATGAGATTTAACTATAATTCCCAAACATAAATAACCTTTACTTTTAGTCTTTTGGTACAAAATCTGGATGTCCTTTTCTCCGAACAACATATTATTTATACATCTCCAAATTTGGCGTTGTTCTATACTATGTAGACAGGGTGAATGTGACTAGTGCGACCCAACAGGTCGAACTTGATCTTTTAGGCCCAGATGATGAGGGGTTTAGTCCATTATCTGGGTTGACTTTGGACCAAGTGAACTTGAGTCGAATTATAAGTTAGTTTAGATAGGAAGATGAAACGAGCTTGAGAGTTCTTCAGTGGACTCAACTCCGATGTTGCAGGTGATCATAACATGCTTTGCGGTGACATATGATAGTTGAAAAATAAGACCTAGATGTGCTGATTTAGCCTAACTTCATCGAGTTACATCCTATCACGCGTGTAGAGAAAACATAGCCTTATACTAAAGTAGGAGTACATGTTCGTATAGAATTATAGATAGTATCGTAGATCATATCTTCTATAGTCATTGCCCATAAACAAACTTACAAAACCGTGTGAAGTACATTGAGTATATCATATTTATTCACCGATACACACGCAACATCTATATTGATGATATATGATATATATATGTATTTATTTTCTGTATTTTTTATGAATTTATAAAACATAGATTTGATATTTGTAAATAGATGATAGATGCATCATGGACCGCAATCTGCATATATATGGAAGATTGCATTAATTCAGAGTGAAAATTGAAACAAACTTCCTAATATCACTTTTGAATTTTGATCCATTTCTTATTCTGTAACATTATTTTTATTCCGTATTTTAAACACTCACTGATTTTTTTCTGATTTTTTAGATTGGAATTGAAATATATATGTGATTTCGATTTTCAATATAATTTAAAAAATAATTCCAAAAAATCAATTAAATTTTCAACACTACTTATAGTATCAATATTACCACGTATTTTATAATCATTGGTGAATAAAAGAAAAATGGAATTTTCAATTGTAGGGGTGAGCAAAAAAACCGAAAAACCGAATAGCAAACCGCATGCACGGTTTTTTATTTTTGAAATACCGAATTATTCGGATCGGTATGGTGGCAAGGTAACAGGGCCGGAACCAGGATTAAAA